ACTCTAGGCCATTCCAGGGTCACACAATATCAACACTATATCATCTGCAGTGAGATCTGAGCCTCAGTCATGTAAGGAGGATCTCTTCCGAGTTTGTTGCCCTGTAAGTACCCTGCCCCAGCCTAGGAAGTGGCTGGTCTCTACATCTGCTCTTCCTGTATTCTTTGGAGTTCTCTCTACCCCTTAGTGGCTAATCTCATTACTAATTAATAATTCTTAACATTAGATTGGTCCTGGCATGGTTTCTGTCTCCTGATCAGACCCTGACTGACATAACTGATGAATTCTAAGGTTTAAGAACCTCACAAACTTTCAGAGAAGAAAGAAGGAGGCAGCATTTCCAAACTGAATTTATGAGGTATCACCCTACCACCAAACCAGATAAAGACATTAGGAGAAAATAAAACTAGATCAATATTCCACAGGAACACAGACACAAACACTTTTAGCCAAATATTGACAGATTAAATTCACCAGTACATAAACAGGGTAATAAACCCCACTTGGTCATGACATATCTCACGAATGCAAAGTTGCTTTAATATTTGAAAATCAAACCATGTGATATATCACATTAACAGAATAAAGAAGAAAGACAGTATAACTATCTCGTTAGATGTAGAGAAAAAGCATTTAACAAATTCAGTACTCACACTTAATGGTGAAAGAGACGCTTCCTAAGATGAGGAACAAGGCTGATACATCTGCTCTTACCACTTCTCAACATTGTACTTGAAGTCCTGGTCAGTGCAATAAGGCAACAAAAGCATCAGAAATACAGCAGAAATATTGAAAAGGAAAAAGCAGAATTGTCTATATTCACAGATTACATAATTACATATGTAGAAAATTCTAAAGAATTTACCCAAAAAAAGCTAAACTAATAAGTGAATTTAGCAAGGGAGCAGGACTGCAGGTCAATATGCAAAAAACCAGCTGTGTTTCTATGTATGAATAACAAATAATAAACACCATTTACAATAGCATCAAAGACATAAAATATTTAAGGATACATTTAATAAAAAACATCTTCAAGATCTGTATGCTGAAAACTACAGAAACTGCTGAGAGAAATTATAGACTTAATACATGAAAAGGTGTAACTGCTCCTCAGCAAATGCCAAATAACTGAAATCGTAACAGTCTCTCAGACCACAGTCCAATCAAATTAGAACTCAGGATTAAGAAACTCACTCAAAACCACACAATTACATGGAAATTGAACAACCTGTTCCTGAATGACTCCTAAGTAAATAATGTAATTAAGGCAGAAATCAAGAAGTTCTTTGAAACCAATGAGAACAAAGAGAACATACCAGAATCTCTGGGACACAGCTAAAGCAGTATTAAGAGGGAAATTTATACCACTAAATGCCCACATCAGAAAGTGAGAAAGATCTCAAACTGACAACCTAACATCACAATTAAAGGAGCCAGAGAAACGAGCAAACTAATCCAAAAACTAGCAGAAGACAAGAAATAACTAAGATCAGAGAAGAATTGAAGAAGATACACGAAAAGCTCTCCAAAAAATCAATAAATCAAGGAGCTAGTTTTTTGAAAAAATTAGCAAAATACATAGACCACTAGCTAGACTAATAAAGAAGAAAAGAGGGAAGAATCAAACAGACACAATAAAAAATGATAAAGGGATATCACCACTGACCCCACAGAAATACAAACTACCATCACAGAATACTGTAAACACTTCTAGGCAAATAAACTAGAAAATCTAGAAGAAATGGATAAATTTCTGGACACATATACCCTCCCAACACTAAATTAGGAGGAAGTCGAATCCCTGAATAGACCAATAACAAGTTCTGAAATTGAGGCACTAATTAATAGCCTACCAACAAAAAAAGCCCAGGACCAGATGGATTCACAGTCAAATTCTACCAGAGGTACAAAGAGGACCTGGTATCATTCCTTCTGAAACTATTCCAAATAATTGAAAAGGAGAGATTCCTCCCTAACTCACTGTATGATGCGTCATCCTGATACCAAAAACTGGGAAGAGACACAACAAAAAAAGAAAACTTCAGGCCAATATCCCTGATGAACATCAACAGGAAAATCGTCAATAAAATACTGGCAAACCGAAACCAGCAGCACATCAAAAAACTTATCCACCACGATAAAGTCGGCTTCATCCCTGGGATGCGAGGCTGGTTCAACATATGCAAATCAATAAACATAATCCTCACATAAACAGAACCAAAGACAAAAACCACATGATAATAGATGCACAAAGGGGCTTTGATAAAATTCAACATCCCTTCATGTTAAAAACTCTCAATAAACTAGGTATTGCTAGAACATATCTCAAAATAAGAATAGCTATTTATGACAAACTCACAGCCAATATCATATTGAATGGGAAAAAGCTGGAAGCATTCCCTTTGAAAACCGACACCAAGGCAAGGATACCCTCTCTCAACACTCCCATTCAACATAGTATCAGAAGTTCTGGCCAGGGCAATCATGTAAGAGAAAGAAATAAAGGGTATTCAGATAGGAGGAGAGGAAGTCTAATTGTCTCTGTTTGCAGATAACATGATTCTAAATTTAGAAAACCCATCATCTCAGCCCCAAAACTCCTTAAGCTGATAAGCAACTTCAGCAAAGTCTCAGGATACAAAATCAATGCGCAAAAATCACAAGCATTCCTTTACACCAACAACAGACAGGCAGAGAGCCAAATCATGAATGAACTCTCATTCACAATCGCTACACAGAGAATAAAATACCTAGGAATATAGCTAACAAGGGATGAGAAGGATCTCTTCAAGGAGAACTACAAACCACTCCTCAAGGAAATAAGAGAGGACACAAACAAATGGAAAAACATTCCATCCTCATGGATAGGAAGACTCAATATCGTGACATGCCCATACTGCCCAAAGTAATTTATACATTCAATGCTATTCCCACCAAACTACCATTGACACTTTTCACAGAATTAGAAAAAACTACTTTAAATTTAGTCTGAAATCAAAGAAGACCCTGTATAGCCATGAAAATCCTAAGCAAAAAGAACAAAGCTGGAAGCATCAGGCTAGCTGACATCAAATTATACTACAAGGCTACAGTAACCAAAACAGCATGGTACTGGTACCAAAACAGACATATAGACCAATGGAACAGAACAGAGACCTCAGAAATAGCACCACACATCTACAACCATCTGATCTTCAACAAACCTGACAAAAACAAGCAGTGGGAAAAGGATCTCCTACTCAATAAATGGTGCTGGGAAAACTGACTAGCCATATGCAGAAAACTGAAACTGGACCCCTTCCTTACACCTTATACAAAAATTAACTCAAGATGAATTAAAGACTTAAAAGTAAAACCCAAACCATAAAAACCCTAGAAGAAAATCTAGGCAATACTACTGAGGACATATGCATGGGCAAAGACTGCATGATGAAAATGCCAAAAGCAATTGCAAAAAAGCCAAAATTGACAAATGGGATCTAATTAAACTAAAGAGCTTCTGTGCAGCAAAAGAAATTATCATCACAGTGAACAGGCAACCTACAGAATAAGAGAACATTTTTGCGGTCTACCCATCTGACAAAGGTCTAATATCCAGAATTTACAAAGAACTTAAATAAATATACAAGAAACAAACAAACAACTCCATCAAAAAATGGGCAAAGAATATGAACAGACACTACTCAAAAGAAGACATTTATGCACCCAACAAACATGAACAAAAGCTCAACATCACTGATCATTAGAGAAATGCAAATCAAAACCACAATGAGATACCATCTCGTGTCAGTCAAAATAAAAATATTAAAAAGTCAAGAAACAATAGATGCAGGAAAGGCTGTGGAGAAATAGAAGCGCTTTTACACTGTTGGTGTGAATGTAAATTAGTTCAACCATTGTGGAAGGCAGTGTGGTGATTCCTCAAGGATCTAGAACCAGAAATACCATTTGACCCAGCAATGCCATTACTGGGTATACACCCAGAGGAATATAAATCATTCTACTATAAAGACACATGCACATGTTAAGTTTATTGCAGCACCATTTACAACAGCAAAGTTATGGAACCAACCCAAATGTCCATCAACAATAGACTGAATAAAGGAAACTGATACATATACACCATGGAATACTACGCAGCCATAAAAAAGAATGAGATCATGTACTTTGCAGGGACATGGATGAAGCTGGAAGCCATCATCCTCAGCAAACTAACACGGGAAGAGAAAACCAAACATTGCATGTTCTCACTCATAAGTGGGAGTTGAACAATGAGAACACATGGACACAGGGAGGGGAACAACACATACCAGGGCCTGTTGGGGGGTGTGGGGTGGGAGGTGAGGGGAGGGAACTTAAAGGATGGGTCAGTAGGTGCAGCAAACCAGCATGGCACATGTATACCTATGTAACAAACCTGCACCTTCTGCACATGTATCCCAGAACTTAAAGTAAAATAAAATTTTTTAAAAAGGTGTAACTGCTCATGGATTTGAAGGGTCCATATTAGTCAGATATCAGTTCTTTCCAGATATATGTATAATTTAAATGTAATCAAAATGAAAATTCCATCAGGTTCTTTGTAGAAAAAGAGAAAATAATTTTCAAAACATTTAAAAAAAAAACATGTATCTAGAAGATGTAAAGAGCTCTTATAACTCAATAGAAAAGACAACAGAATTTTTTTAGATGAGCAAAAGATTTGAATAGATATTACATAAAACAAAGTATATAAATGTCTATTAAGTCCATGACATCTGCTCAACAGCTTTAGTCATCAGAGAAATGTACATACTATACACCCACAATTAAGGGTTAAAATTAAAAAGAACGACAACACAAGGCACTGACAAGAATGCAGAGTAACTGGAACTTTTAAACATTGCTGATGGAAGTGTAAAACCATACAATCATTTTGGAAAACAGTTTGGTAGCTTCTTATAAAGTTAAACATACAATTAACATAAGACCCAGAAATTTCACTCCTCTGTATTCATCTTAAATAGAAATATATTTGACACAAAGATTGTAAATGTGGACAGTTTTAATTGTAATAGCAGAAACTGGTGGGGAGGAAACAAATTGTGGTATATTCACACAATGTGTGAAAACTCTTCAGAAATAAGAAGGAATAAACCACTGAATCACACAACATGAGGACAAATCTCAAATCATTATGCTGACAGAAAGAAACCATTCATAAGAATACATAGTACATGATGCCACTTTCATGATGTTCTAGAACAAAGAAAACTAACCTATAGTGATAGAATTCGTATCAATGACTGCCAACAATTGGGAGTGAAAGGAACTGACTGAGCAGGTATACAAGAGAACTTTCTAGAGGGTGATGGAAATATTCTGAAACTTGACTGGAGTGTTGGTTACATGGGTATATCCATTTATCAAAACTCACTGAATTGTATACTTAAAGTAGGAACATTTTATTGTAAATCAATTATGACTCTATAATGTTAGTTTTTAAAATATTAGATATATCAGCTGGAAATCACTTGGTTTTAACTGAAAAATGTTCTCTGTAACCTTATTTATTCTAGTACTTAGCTTCTTGTCTTCAAAAGCAATGTAAAACTTCACTGTAGCTAAGCCTATGTTAGACTCTTACAAATTCCTAAAGAGTAGAATTAGTTCAATGAGTAATTCTTACAAATAATTCTAGATTTACTTTACCCACATGAATAACGGATTTGCTACTTAGAGCCACATTAATGCTTAGTATAAATCATACTACATGATAAACATGCTCACATATATTTAAATATAAACATATTTGGACTTTAAAAAGTAAGTACATCTTAGGAGATGATCCAATTCTGGGAGTTAGCAAACGGCTAAGTGCTCCCCTCCTTCCACACATAAGGAGAGAAATCATTCATCAGCTGTGTGAGTCTGTTACCAGTGCCACATGTGAGGACAGACCACAGCACAGTGAGATGAGGCAGAGGAAATGCCTACAACAGCATTGGCTAGATCAGGTTTTCTTCCTTCTTCCAGCCACCTGGAAAAATGTTCACAGAGAGTTATAGTGGTTACAAGACCAAAACTTGGAATCAAAAGAATTAAATAATGCAAATAACCCAATTAATCTGATAATATCTATTACTGCAGAAGTAGTGTTAGAGGTAGTTTATTTATTTATTTTTTTTTTTTTTTTTTTTTTAATTTTTTTTTTTTTTGAGACTGAGTCTGGCTCTGTCGCCCAGGCTGGAGTGCAGTGGCCGGATCTCAGCTCACTGCAAGCTCCGCCTCCCGGGTTCACGCCATTCTCCTGCCTCAGCCTCCCGAGTAGCTGGGACCACAGGCGCCTGCCACTTCGCCTGGCTAGTTTTTTGTATTTTTTAGTAGAGACGGAGTTTCACCATGTTAGCCAGGATGGTCTCGATCTCCTGACCTCGTGATCCGCCCGTCTCGGCCTCCCAAAGTGCTGGGATTACAGGCTTGAGCCACCGCGCCCGGCTGAGGTAGTTTATTAAAGAGGCATTTTTTTCAATCATTCCACTCATCATATCCTGCATTTCAAAAGTATTATCTTAAAAAGGAAAATTTAAAAAAATACTTTTTAGAGCATAAAACATAACAGGTTGAAGTGGTTTTCAAAAAGCTACTTCCAGTGTTCTTCAGCTTTCTATTATGGCAGCATCATCTTGTGCTGAAGACACTGGCTCATTTGGACACACGGTCAGCATGCATAAATACATCTCCATGATGATCAAGTTACTGCCATGTGCAGGACCGCTTGCAAGTAAGATGAAGAGAGCTACCTTAGTGTTAGCAGCAAGGCTTCGAGGTCTGTACTACTCAAACCAATCCTAAGGGTAGGGCCAATGCACAGTTTGAACATACCAGGTAATGTTAAAGATTCACCAGTTTTCCCCTTGGAATTAATTCTAACAAAATCTTCCAGGATAAATTAAAAATAAATTTCTCTCCCCATTTACTCTTCATTATTTTTAGCCTCGAAAGGCTCATATACTGTTCCAATGAAACAAGAATTGGCTCTGAACCAAAACCAAAAAGAAGGGAAGAAAATCCAGAGTATTCTATGATGCCCTGTAAGTATTAGCGTGTGGCTTCCACATGAAAGTTGTCAAACTGTGCAAATTCAAAGGAGTGAGTTCCAATTGCAGCCCAGCCATTCTTCGGAAAATTCACAGGGATGTCTGTCCACAGAGACTTGTCATTCAGCATGCCAGAGGCAAAACGACCCTGGAGTAGAAAGAAACACATTCCTTGAAACCATATGAAAATGGTCCTCTGAAGTCTGTTTCTTGATCATGTATGGCCCACTACTTAGTGGAGCAAATGTACTTCTCACTCAAGACTTAACCACAGCAAAACACAAATCCACAAGTTTGAGCAAAAGTTTAAAATAAAGAAGAAAACTCCGGCAAGAAATTCTTACCTACCTACTTAAATTGTTCCCAACGTACAAGGAATACCTCAATATTTCCTGTGCTCCATGAAAATGTAAAACCAACAAAAATGCAAAACTTTTCATGCATTATTATAAAGTTTTAGACAAAAGCTCATTAAAATAAAAAAAACATTATTTATAAGTAGTCACACGTACAAGTGTTATGGCTAACAGCCACCAACTCTTCAGACATGACTGTGCTGGAGCCAAAACATCTGCTTCTACCTCATTGCTTCTCTAAGGTTTTCATTAAGCAGCCTCTGCCCAGCCAGAAGAAAAATAATTAACCTTTGCTTTTGTGTTGTGTTGCCATGAACAGAATATCACTTCAAAGCCATATGAAGCTCCTACCCTTAAGCTGAAAAAACAGTAACCATCAGTTAAAGTGATGATGGAGTAGGGTGCAGTGGGTAGAAGAAGGGAGGCATCTATAAGGTGTTACTTACTGGTTACTGACAGTGAAAGAAAAAATTACACCTTCCTCAGAAGCTTGCCATTCTACTTAGCTCAGTGCCTGGCACATGGTAAACAATAAATCTCAGCTCTTATTATCTTTATGATAATACATTTATGAGCATATATTCACAGCATACTAACTACAGCCAATCATTTAAAACTAGCTACTCTCAAAAGGTAAAGAGCTCAAAATTCAAAGCATTGGGCCAAGAACCAGAATAAATCTGCTTTTAAGTCTTGGAAGGATAATGTAATGGACTTTAATGTAGTTCTTTTTATTTTATGCATGGAAACACTGAGGCTTAATAGATTAAAACTCAAAGTCACAGATTTTTGCTCCAAGTCACTTAGCTCCAAATTCAGAGCCACATTCCTGTTACTACAGACTTGCACAGCTATCTTCAGCTCTAGAAGTGCTTACTGAACATCTTCTGCTGCCATCAAACACTCAGTATTAACATTGAGCCAAGGGACTCATATCACAAATCCCATTAAGCACAAAACCTGTCTAAGAGGACCTCATCTCTCCTGCCTCCCCAGGCTTCAGCCACCCCAGCCTCCAGGCTGCTCTTCACACAATGTCAGCTACACTTGCCTTTTGAACCAGCCATGTGGTCTGCTCAAATTGTTCTTCCCATCATTCAGGTCTGTACTCAAGTACCACCCACTCAGTGAGGTCTTTCCTCACCTCCCTGGTTAGAGAATCAGGGTAACAGAGCTACTTTATCTTATGACTATATTTTTTCTTCATAATCATAAACTTATTTACAAGCTTTCTATCTCAGGATAGCGCTCAGCAAACTATGACCTACATGCCAATGACCTTTTTTTTTTTCATAAACAAAATCTTATTGAAACACAACCACATCCATTCATCTACATATTGTCTACAGCTTTTTTCTCACAACAGCAGCAGAATTGGGTGGTGCCAGCAGAGACCACATGGCCCACAAAGTCTAAAATATTTACTCTCTGGCCCTTTACAGAAAAAGTTGCCAACTCCTGTCCTAGAAGAATATATGCTCTAAGAGAGCAGGAATCTTGTCTATTTCATTCACTGCTGTATCCCTAGGACTTAGTAGAGTGCATATAGCAGGGGCTTAATAAAAATGTGTTGAATGTAAGAATGTAACACATTTAACCCTCAAGACAACCTCACAGAAGTTATCTGCATTTTACAGATAAGGAAACGGATACTCAACGAGGTGGAATAACTTGCTAGAAGTCTCAGTATGTGTTAGTGAGGAAATATTAATGCTGTTCTTCTGGTTCCAAACACTCCTACTCGTAAGAATATTAACTTGACTCATTAAGTGCTTACCACATATCAGGTACTATATATATATATTTTTTTTTCTCATTGAATCTTCATAAGAAAAGTGTTCTTCATGATACAATGGATGGGAAAATTGAAGCTGCCCAATATAAAATACTTGCAAGTAGAATACAGTACACTTCAAAGTCCATTGTGCAACAGAGCTGGGACACGTCACCTGACAAGTGCTGAGAAGAATTCAACAGGTGGCTGACAGTGACAAAATCCTCACATTAGCTGAAATTTGGAATATGGGCAACATAGAAGATGATGTTTTGTTTTTTTTCATTTATGCAAAGAAGATTTATATGTCAAATACTGTTTAATGCACTGGGAATTTAAGACGAACAAGAAGACAAGGTCCCTGCTCTTATGGAGCTTATATCCTAGTAGGAGGAGATGGACAGACATGCACACACACACAAAATGAGAGCTAAAGGATAAGCAGCATGTAAAAATTAAGCCAGGTCAAAGTGACAATGGGTGCCTGACAGACTACTTTACCGCCGATAGTTGGAGAAGACCCTCAGAGTATGTGGCAAAAGTTGAGATTCAAGAGGAAGCAGAATGCCCATAGTTGAAGAAACACAAAATAATAGGAGTAGGGGAGTGAAGTGGGTGCAAACCGGCAAAGTCCTATCCATCCTAGTAGCAAGACAAGAGCCAATTTCTAAAAGTAGTGAATCACATTATATTAAAGACACACCAGAAAAAACAGCCAGAATAGTGAGGAGTGGCTGTATCAGAAGTACAGAACACAGAATGGGGGTCAAGAAGAAGGAACAGGATGTGAGGCAGCTGTTTTCAGTAAGTCCTGTTGACATTTTAACCAGGTATGCAAAGTACCTGAAGAAAATTAAGAAAATCTTTTAAATCTCATTCACGATTTCAAAAAAACTCATAAAGTTACTAAAACAAACTTAATCAAAGGTGTGCAAAAATAAAACTGAAGGACCTAGTGGCAAATCTTAATAAATGGTGACATACAGCATGCTTTTGTTCCTATGTTCTCTCATGGGGAAACACATTATTATTTAAAAAAATGTAATTTTTTCCCAAATTGATGTATAAATTTAATGTAATACCAGCACCATTTTTCAAATAATTGAAAGTTTGTTTTTTTAAAGTCAAATCGAATAATATATATAGTGAAATAGCAAAGATAATTTTGAAAAAGAAACAATGAGGAAGTTGCCCCACCAGATATCCATTCATGCATTTACCAAGTATTATTTGGACTCTTGCTCTGCCTGGCTGTCAGGCACTTTTCTAGGTGCTACAGAGCCAGCAGTGAGGAATATGGAGAAAGGCCTGTCACTAAAGGAGCTATGTGCTAGTGAAGGGAGTAGGAAAACACATTAACAATCAACAGAATATGTGTGACGTCACTTGGGATAAAACCTTTAGAGAAAAAAAAAGCAACAGAAAGGAGTTAGAGAGTGAGATGGGGCTATGTTTTCTATCAAGTGGTCAGGTAAGAAAACTCTGAAGGAAGCAAGGGAGTAACTATCATCAAAGCCTTTAGAATGTTAACACCAATTAAAAGTGTGATTTCGGATAATAATAGACAAACAATACGGAGAACAGAAAAAAGCTCAGAAACAAGTATATGCATATGTGCTGATTTGTTACATCAAAAAGGTAGCCTTTAAATTATGGGCAAAAGGATAGTCTATTGTAATAAATGATGGCTATCCATTTTTTAAAAAATTATATTCAATACTTCCCCTTAAAATTCACAAATAAATTTCTGATGTATTAAAAACTTACACATAAAAATAAATCCTAAACTTTTTTTAGTTTGGGGTAAAAATGTTCCTAACCTTGAGAAACAAGAAGGCCTTATTTAAAACATGAAACATAAAGGCAATGAATAAAAAGTGAAACATTTGACAGTATCAAAATATAAAACTTATAGTCATCAAAAATACCATAAGCAAAATTAAAATACACAAGATGGGAGAGCATAGTTGTGACATATGTAACAGACAATGGGTTACTATCCAGAATACATATTAAATTCACACAAATTTGCCAGAAAAAGACAACACGATAGAAAAATGAAGAAAGAAAGTGAACAGGCAATTCAGAGAAGAGAAAATACAAATAGCCAATAAACATTACATGTGCAAGCTCCCTAATTATCAAGGAAATACAAATCATATCTATGAGTTTGGAAAAAATCTTCAAATTCAATAATAGTGAATATTATTATAATTGCTATAAAATGGCTACATTTTGGCTACTGTAGTATAGTTAAATAATCTATGCTACATCCAAACAAATCTTCAATATACATTATTATTAATGCTAAAAAAATTAGTGCTGTCATTTTGGTGGTTGAGAGGAGAGAATAAATTCCAAAGTTATTGGAATCTGATTTTTAATTTCTATTGCACCCTAAACAAAACTGTGAGGGAGCTATCTTGGGAGAGACCAGCACATTATAAACAAAAATTTTTCTGCACAGCATCCCTTGGAAGCACTGTCAAGCAGTAACTCATGATCACCCAGTGATTCTGAGGAATATTTTTATATTTCTATTATATTAAAATTAATCTGATATTTTGTCTGACAAAAAATATTCATGGAAACCAATTTCTAAAAAACTATGCTTATAATTGAAAAGCAAATTATTCTTAACCATCAAACATAAATGTATATGACTTTGCTTACATCTATAAGCTCCATGTATAGTCTTGGTTCAAGCAAACTTGAAAAAATAGTTCAGTTATTGACTTTATCAATTATGCCTCAGTTTAAAAAACAAAATCAAATTTTTAAAAAAATAGTGACCTGATAAAGTCAACTGCTGATGGTTCTCACGTAGATTACCCTCACACACATAGCCACCCTAGGGATGAGTGGCTTCCCAGCATCACGGCAGATTCCTTGTCTCTCTTCATTATATGTCACAATTTCCCCCTCCTATTTTATAACAGAAAATTCTAGAAAGGCACAACAAAAGAATATTTTACCTCCAGATCCTCCAATCAGCAATACCTACCTTAATAGTTAATGTGAGTGTATACCATGTTTTTGCTGTAACTTCAACATGTCCTAAAGCATATATAATCCATCCAGCTGTAACACAAAAAGATTATCCTAATAGATATAATTTTGAGATCTCAATCACAGAGTCATTTAATTCAGTGGGGTTCTCAAGTGTCATCTGTATGTAGTAAAGTCAGCCTCAATAGAGAGCTGTCCCTTCATTCCCAGATCTACAACTGAGTTAAGCCAAAACATTTTTCATTTAGCCATGCATTTAATAGCATATACTGAGATCCTACTCTAAGCTGTATATCATATGTGAGCTCACAACAGAACCAGTGAAATAAACTTAAAAGCCAGTGACAGTATGAGGTGTTAGCATCTATAGTTCAAGTACACATTTATACATGACTGGATTGAATACGGAAGACAAGAGAGAGATAATATAAAATTTCCAACCAGTCAAATTGGTTACATGGTAATAGTATTCACTCAGAGGGAGAAAATAATAAGTTAATTTCTAGAATTACTGTTATTTGAATGCCTATGAGAACCCCAGCATAAAATTTCAAGTAGACAGTTTAAAACAGACAGTGGGGACTGCAGACACAGATTTAAATTCCTACTTCCAGTTTTGCCACTAACTAGCTTTGAGTCATTAGGCAAGTCAATTAACCTCACTGGTTCTCTGTTTTTTATTTCAATATCACTGAGGTAACTTCAGATTGGTAATGTTATGAATATATAACTCTTGTTCTAATATCCTTACTACCTACTTCCTCTTTAATTTTTATTTTATTTATGGAGTCAAAGCAAAGAGCAGCAAACTATAAAAGAGATATTTTTAAATTAAGGTAAGAGGAAAATCAAGAGACTGAGAATCAAGAAAAGTCACCACTAGTAAGGTCTAGTTTCAAAGGAGTGGTGTGTACCAAAACCAATCTGAAGTGGACACAGTTCAATCTGAACATATTTGAAGCACCTATTCTGGATAAAATATCATCCTACCTAACACAAGGGCTGTAAAGATGACTGAGAAAAATCAAGCTATTTTCCATTCTATTTTCCATTTCTATGAGATTTTTCCATTTTAAGCAGATCAATCCCTCTCCCTATATTTCTATAAGTACAGCAGCAACATTCTTATACTCCTGCTTTTATTTATGGTGCCTCCTGAGCATTCTCCCCCTACCACCACTACCTCAGATGGTTTTGATACTATCTATGCAAATCCTATCCTCACAGCCCAGTTCAACCTCACAATACCCTAAAAAGCTTTGTACAATTATTTTCCCTTCCACAGAGTTGCCCCCATCTCTAGGAATTAAATAACTTTCTATAATTGTAAACTATTTGGTATTTGCTTACATCTCTTCCCAATTAGCTGTCCAAACACCTTGGGATGAACTTTTTTATCACTCCCACAAATAACAAGTAGGTGCTCAAAGTAACATAGCCTATAAGTCATATGGTATTTAAAAAAAAAAAAGTCACTTACCTAAATCCCCTGTAACCCTGTAAGATCCATTTGCAAAAATCCAGAAGAAAATTCCTCTGGCACTTCTAATCAAAATACCACCTTTATTTACTCTTCCTGCAATGAACACACCTCCTGTGTCAGGGGTCTCTATGTAAACATCACATTTTATAGTCAGATTCGTCCTGCAAAATAAAACGGTTGACTAATACTCTTAAAATATGCCCTTTGTAACATAGTACAGATATGTCATTTCACAGCACATGCCTCCAAACTTCTAATTGAGGTGAGAATGTGATTTGCTAAGTCTGAGCCTGTAGCAGAGATGGGCTTCAAGAATCTTTATTGACAACAGTTTTAAATGTTACATGACTTAAGTCATTTCATTGCCTATTTAAATGTTACTGGACAATAATAGTTATGATTTTTAAGTTTCCTGAGAAAATATTTTTTTCTACAATAAAACAACTTCTCATCTTAAGAATACAATATTTGTAAAAGCCACTATTGTCTATGAACAAATAAAAAGTAAAAAGTTCCACACAATTCTGAGGGAAAATGTTTATTCAAATTTCCAGCAACAAAGAGAGGTAATTAAGGCAATGCTAGGAGCCTCTGGGAGAACATAAGCTATTCCAGGGCCAATTTTTACATTTAAATCCAACAAAACTTTAAAACTCCAGAAGAAAAGATCTAAAATTATTTCTCTGCAAAGACCGCAGAGTTGACTCTCTAGAAGGGCTTCTCACACCTGAACAGCACAGAAATCACCAGGAGGGCTTCTTAAACTCAGTTCACTGGTCCTACCCCACAGCGTGAGTCAGTAAATCTGGGGCAGCCCCTTGAATTTGCATGTCTAACAAATTCCCAGGTGATGCTGATGCTGCTTACCCAGGAATGCCACTTTGAGGACCATTTTCCCCTATGAAGTATCTGTCTATAAGGAAGCAATAAAATCCTGGTTCTAGGCTCACTGATCCACAGCAGTCTATCAAAGATGGGAAAAAGATTCAGCTGTCCAGGGACTGAGCTTTTACAGTGAGCTCTCCTCCAGGTTTCCTCTTACAAATGCTACCAGGTACAACACTTTCCTTCTGGGATGCTACAACCACCCCAAACCAACATGATCTCTGAAAATATTTTACTTCCTACTCAGTATCTATCTGCAAGTAGGAAGAAAAAAGAAAGCCTGCACACAAATCAAGCAACATATCTCACATAAGACTGGAAACACCAATAAATCTATTCCAGAAATGGGTTGAGGGGAATGAGATCTAGAATTATATGGCTTTTACATTTGTATCTTATCAGTGAATTTTGCACAGTGAAATTTTACTATGTAAAGGAAAATATTACAAAAGTACCTACATCAGGTACACAGGGAGGACAATCCACACTTAATTATCTAAGCAGAGCTGGGCTACTTTACAGGAAGACCAAATGCTGAGTAACTCAAGCCCAGTCTCTCTTGCATGTCCTCTGACATCAGAGGGAGTTTTCTCTCTATAGATTATCACCAGCATGAAACCACTAGCAATCAACACTGGTTCTTCTATCCCTTACCTGCTTTCTGGTTCATCATAAGTTTGAAAGTGCTACAAATACTATCAGCACCATAAAATTATTCCATTTAGAGTTGGAATGAGAGAAGATCAAACTTTTTCCTTTTTTATATACCACATTCCAGAAAAAGTGATTCTTGTATCAGAACTTGCCAGGCAATTTCATAGATAATGAATGAAATAGAATAAAAGTGTGGTTTATTCTTCCACAGCCACAATCTCTCAGGAGTGCTGAAAGAACAAAAACTAGCCAATATATAAGGCAAATCTGATCAGAGAGAGAGTTCAGCTGTGTGCAGGTAAAGGTAATTTTGTGATTGTCTTTAAAGAATTCCAACCAATGCTCACTATCAAGATAGAAGTAGCCAGTTACACTACAATCCACCCAGTATAATCAAATTACTCTGCTGGTAAATAACTAAATCTAGGTATAAGAGAGGAAGTTCTACTCAAAACACAACTCTAAAAACTGTGAGTAATGTGCACACATTGAGAGCAGATTTACTAAAATAGCACTACAGATAAACTAGACAAATTTCCCATTTCCTACCTTTAGGAAGAAGACGATTAAAATGAGGCTGTGAGATATACTCCAAAGAGAATGGGCTAGTGAGTCATACAGACCCGGCTTCTAGCCCTGGTTCTGCCATTTACCAGTGATATCTTGGGTAAATCTTACTCCAAAGATGCGGTTTCTCAGTCTGCAAGGTGGGGGCGATGATATCTCCACCATAAAGTGGTTATGTGGGAAATCCATCAAAGTGCCTACTATTATCCAATTTTTATTCCCTCCTTTTCCTACAATAAGTGGGCACAGCGGCCAGACAACAGAAATGAACAAGGGATTTGTGTGGATCTCTGAGCAGATCTGGCTGCCTCAAATAGAGGGTAGAATACTGGAAAATAACCCATAATAGATGAGACCAAATTATAAAGGGTCTTGGAAATCAGGCCTAGAAGTGGAAAATACAGGTAGCAGGGGAGAGTCACTGCATCTTCCTGAGCAGGGGAATAACATGATGAAAACAGGGATTCAGAAAGATGAAGGCAGTCCTTTCTTGACACGCATAATTGCGACTTCCTGGTTCCTTTCCTTTCAGAATGTGTCACTCTCTTCCTCTTCTACACGCTTCCCCATCCCTCATCCCCACCTCCTTATCCACTGCAATAGATCCTAGTAAAAATTGAGTATTGCTACTTAAATTGTGTAAAATCTTCAAATATATGAAGATGTGGGGGAGTAAATCTTTGAATGGTGCTATATCTCATTTCTATACTACAATTAAGGGGCTTCTCAATCTTTCTGGAGTCCCAGCCAGAAATAAGATTGAGTTTGAGTTTAGAAAGAGCCCTCTATAGTATTCAAGTGCATAGGGTATAGGGGACATCACAGAAAAAAAAGTTTCCTATATGGTGACTTCAAAACTGGAGATCAAAACAATGGGACCCATGCCTTGGATACTTAAACCCAGCCACTGGACTTACAATAAGACCATCGTCACAAATGAGGATGCCATGAACTCCACTGCCATAATCGGAAAATCTAGGTAAAGTTTCCTCCTCAGAGACAATGGCACAAGCAGAAATTCTGCTGTGTAAAAACACAAGCCACAAATGTCATCCTAAATTAGGAAAGAATGCTTCACTGCACCTCAATAACTCTTCCTAGTGTTATAAGAGTTCCAGGGGCTCTGGATAACTGAAAGTTTCTTGAGACTTATGTCAGAGCTTGGAACTAGAATCAGGATTTCTAACGGGGAGTAAGGCACTTCAGGAGGGATAAACACTTCCTGCACACTCCACAGACAAGCAATTCAAGGCCCTTTTCAGAATTCTTTTCTCTTCCCTCTCCAGTTTCTAAGCTTTGGATATGGCTTTTTGGTGGCTTGGTATTCTTAGTACTAGCTCTAAACCTGGAATGTTTGTTTGTTTTTATCCCGCAGTGGAATCATACTAGTTATAGGAAAAAATGAAAAAGAAACACGTAAGACAGGTATAATAAGTCAGCACATAGAAATTCTGTAACTAAACTTAGTTTGGCATTATATTTCATGTGAATAATATAACTTGTCTCTATACCAGATGACTAAATAAAAAGTTAAATTCACTAGGCAACTAAAGCTGATTTGCTTTTTACTATTGCCATCTAGGGTCACCTAGTAAATAGATTTTTTAGTGACTAAGATGGTGTAATTCTATGATTGGTCCACCAGATGGCAACACCAGATCAACAAATCAACTCTCCAGCAAAACAAAACCTTAAAAACACCTCACAAATCCGTCTGTTTATAAATAAATATTAAATTATAATTGGTTCCAAAAGTCCTCAGTTTTTATACTGAAATAAAATTGTTCTTGTAATAATCACTATTAAATAGGGCAAAGATGAGGGAAGGACACTGAGGCAGCAAAACAATGTGCAGCTTTGTGGTCATCATCATAATATTCAACAACCCTTAATATTACATATTACACATCTATTAGGTTCTTAAACAAGGAGGACTACTGAAAGCTCTTCACTTCAAAATGTACCTGACAATATTACAAGGGTATTTCAGCCAGATCCACATTGAGAACATCAATCTTACCAGTTGTAGTCTCCTATAATACTGATTGTGTTGGATGCATCGGCAGCCCACGTAATGGGTCTCTGGTTGAGAACTTGGCGTAGCGTGAAGTGATGCTCACCAGGGTCTTCCATATTTGTAAAATATTCAAATACACCAGTTTGATCAGCAAAGTTTGGAGCTTCACTAAAAAATGGGTAATCTGTTCAGAACATAAGAAATTCTCTGTTTAGTATCAAATCCTTCAGAAGTTCTCCTTGCTGATATTTTACAGTATGTCTGAAACACTTCTGAAAGTTTTTAATAAATAAATAACATCTAAACCAAAGTTTAGGGCCTACATCTATAAAGATATATTAATTTTTGTATCATAATTACTAAATATCAAGATGATAAATTTGACATATAGATGCTGCATAATACTTAATCCAGGCATATGGTGTAGAGGAAAAGTCATGAGTTCTGAAGTAAGTATGACCTAGGTTCAAATTCCAGCTCAGTATGTTGCCCTGAACAAGTTATTTAACTGCCCTGCATCTAAAGTTTCTTCATTTCTAGGTTTGCAGGAGGACAAGAGAATTAAAGAAAAGATAAAGTGTACATAAGCCAGCATCTGGCAAGGGCTCAATAAGGGATAGCTTTATTATTTCTAATATCTGTCAAGCAAGGTTCCAAATCATGGGTCACAATCACCTGCCAAAAGAGCGTAAGAAAAGCTTATTATATGAAGCATAAAATTTACAAATTTTCTTCTACTTCTAAACTGCAGCAAAAACCAGTTTGGGGCCTAAGATATCAATCCCTTTTTAGTTTTACTAAATTAAATTTTAGTCTTAACAATAATGAATGCTGTAGAGGAGAAATTTTAGTTGTAATATCTTATAGCTCTTATACCTCATGCTTTTCTAAATGCTTTTGCATTCATTACCTCATTTGAGACATTTAGAACCCTAACAAGTATCTTCAGAGCCTAGTTTATAATATTTAACTTTAGTTTTAAATTTATATTGTAGCTCATAAAGTATTACATTTTATATCTGAAGGTTTGGAATTGCCTCTTGGTCTTCAGGGTCACAAAATATTGGTCTTGGTGCTGGCAGTTCTTCAATCTCATTAACTAGGCCATATCCCACACAAATTCCTCACTTACTGAAGGCAAAAGTCACCTTTGCTAACAGAGAACCAACCAAGCAACAGATTTGAAAGACCTATGTTTCACAAAATTAATGGGTTTATCTAAGAGGCCATTTCAAAGAGCTGGAGAAAAACAAACCACCAAGCTTCCCCTGAGGGTCACTGTTGTCTGTATTATAGTTGAGAGGACTCCACTACACAGTCCAAAAGGCCTTCTACTCCAGCCAACTAGATCATTTCCCGAGAAAGAAAGGTGAGACCCTGCAGCAGTGACTGGGAAAGAGTGATAGCAGTGTCCACCTTTGGTGGAACAAGCAGCTCTGCAGCAAACAGGAGGTTCAAGTGATGCTCCAGCAATGCCAGTTCCCTCCCTATTACTCTCCTGCTACAGACTGTAGGAGCAAATTACAAAGCCACCTGACCCTGTCTGTGAGACCCATAAACCTATTGAACACTACCAACTAGTCAACAAATTTTGTTACTTACTGACTAGGAATATAACTACAGTGACCATATCTTCTGTTTTCCAAGTGGTTTTCCTAAATCACCTATAACCAAAAACTTTTCTAAGAACTTTAGGATAGATTTTCCTAGAAAATCAAGAGAGCTCAATAAAAATCTCGGAGGCACAGGATAGTATATGAGTTGGATCACCCAATGACAACATAACTGCCCATAAGCACTCAGTTCACTAGCACTGTGGAAAGACACATATAAATGTGTCTTAAGCTCCACACAGAAGGAAGATGTCAGTAATGGCTAACGGGGCAGTAGCAAAGTTACAAAGTTTAAGTTTCACCAAAAGAAAATTAGAATTATAACTTTCATTCTAACAATGAACTCTATATTTTTTTCTGAAACTGAAAAATACAGGGTCCTCAAATTTAGATTTACCATAAAGTAATATAAAAAATTAGCCCTCCTTTTACCACATATGAGATGTAGGAGCTAAATGAATGTGCTTTTGACAGCCACTCCATCATGCACCCAGTATGACAGGTAGAAATCAACACACTATAGAGACGAAGTTAACTTTTAGTGAAAAATACTCACCAACATTGAAATCATCCTTATAGGTACTTGGGAAGCGCTGGGATTTTGGAGGAGGCAGGTAGCTGCCTTTGCGACCAGTGGTAAGAGTGGTGAGTGTGAACAGTTCATCTTCTTGCAGTTTCAGTGTGAAACTGCCATTGCTGTCGAGGAGCTGAAAAAGAAGACACTACTGTATTCAAGACTGGACAAAATAGCTTTTGTAAAAAATTAGCTTAAAGAAAAGTCCAAATCATTTGTTAGAACTTCCTAAACATTTGTGGAAAACTGACCAATACCAAGGCCCTCGGAATCTTTTTCTCCTAAGTATTTTAGAAAACTTCATAAAATTATGCTTTATAATTTTAAACAACCTTAATTCATGGAAGGAAGGACTAAATAATCTCAAAATCTATTTCTATTAGCCTATTCTTTTCCACTACACAGTAAGCTCCTTAAAGCTTGGATATATTCAATACATGCAACTAAGAGACCTGCTTTTTTCCCTCTCAGTAGTTTTACTAAGGTAGAAAACTCCATAAAATATCACTGTTGATCCAGTTGTTAATCACAGATATCCTTTTACAATTAAGAGAGGAAAATCCTGCCCATTTTATGTTCAATATATATTTCAACTAGCAAGTTAGGCTTATGTCACACTTACAATCTTGGCAACTTAATCTCTTTAAGCCACAATCTCCTCATCTACAAAATGAGGAAAAAATACATACCTCATAGAGCTGTTGTGATGATTAAACCAGATAATGCTTTTAAAGTGCTAAGCCCAGTGTGCGACCAATGGGAAACACTCCCAATATCAAAGCTGCTCTATGCTAAATGTAGACCTCTGAAGACACTGGAATCCTTTGCATAATCACTGAAGGCATTAAATCTATGCCCATTTTATGAAATTTGAACCTGTTTTTTCTACTTTGAATTAAAGGAGTTATTATCCTTGTTTTAACGGTAGGTTGATGATCAGATCTATGAAATACCTGATGTTATATTCAGGTTGAAGAATAACCCCAAATGACATTATTTTTCTTATGGGGAAAATCAATTCTATTATGCTATTCCTAGCAATTTTGTTACACAAAAAGTAGGAACCTTTTTTTCAGAACTTAATATATTATAAGGTGTTTTATCACTATTAGTGACTAGTTGGTTATCAGAACATTAATAATAACCAGAAAAAGTGGTAGATTTGTGTCAATTAAGTGAAATAATATGCTTGTTTGGGTCAATTCGTTCTTTGAAACCTTTCCCCAGAAACCACCATGGATGAAGCACTGTGGGAAGCACTTGAGATATAAAGCTAAATAAGGCAAGGCTCAGTCTTCAAGGTGTCTGGTGGAGCAGGACAAGTGTTTAACTAGGTAAGCACATGGCCCCAGGTGAATATGAGCTAAGACTGGTGAGGAAGCTTCAGAGCAAGAGACACTTGAATTGAGTCTCAAAAGATGATAAAGATGAGGAGAAGTCATTCTATGCAAAAAAAACCAGTATGCACAAAGTCACAGAAGTAAATAAACAGGCATGCTACGCTTTGAAAAATGTAAGTTTAGTCTGTGAAGAGAGGCCAGTTTAGTAGGACACACATCTAGGAAGAAGACCAGTCTTCTACCTCCTGGGAGGATAATGAGGGTCATGTGCTACACTAAGGAATGTGAACTTCTAAGAAAATAATCACTGAGGTCCTCTGAGCATGGTGGTCACAAAAATCAGATCTGCATTTTTGACATTTCACTCTGTAGCAGTGATGGGTGACCTGGAAATTCAGACTGGAAAAACAAGAGGCAGTTTCTGAAATCCAGGAGAGAGATAATGAAGAACTGAAACAAGAAGTAACAGAAGTAACAGTGGTAATGGAGAATAAGGAGTGAGTAAGAGAAATTTGTGGATACAATCATCTATACTTGACCACTGGTGGGATACAGAGGGTGAATGGGAAAGACAGAGAGTCTCAAATGGGACTTAAATTTCCGACCTGGGCAGTCAGGTGATGGCGTCACCATCCACCAAGACAAACTAAATGTCTAAGAGCTGAACACATCTATAAACATACAAACATAAAAATAAAAATTATTAATTAATGAAATTTCTGTTCCCTTTTACTGTTTTACTGTTGTAATACCCAAAATATAACAATTTACTTTAAAATTACCCATAGAGAATCCAGCTGCTTAAAAAGAAATCTTTCAGATGTTTTTCCAAGTTTGGTATACCACACCTGTAGCTCTGGTATTTCACTCTGTAAAGAAAAGACAAAAAAGCATGGCTGAGTAATTCATCACATCCTCTTTGAGGATTTCCAAACTCAGTACCAGCAAGAATGTACCAATGACAATATTATCTCTATTTATCAGGAGAATCACCTCAAATATTAAATAATAATATTTTTAAAAATAGGAAAACACTGTTCAAGCAAATACTTTATTCTCTAAACACTAAAGAATTTTGGCAAATGATTAAAAAATCACAGTGTCTTTGCTTCAAAAACATTCATTACTGTACCTGTGTAAAAATCTTTAAATTAAAATAACTTTCTGATATTAAAAAACAATTCTTATGCCATTAGTAATCAGAAAGGGTACTGCAGTTTCTCAATTCAAACCTAACAATTCACAGAAATAGCAAGTATCCAGTACTTTTTTAAAATATTTTTGGCATAGTATACTGTAAATATCAATGCTTGAAAGTTTCTGAGACCATACAATGCTTCTACCACCAAGAACAACTTTCTGGCAAGTGACTTTTGTAAGTGTTCCTCAAAGTCACCGAGCATTTTACCTCCTACTGGCTTCTGTCCTGTTAGATTAAAGCAAGTCAGAAGACAGAAGACACCAAGGCCTCTGTCAATTCATATACAAACTGTTAATAGTTCATAATATGAGGCTCCACTTAAGAACTACTGGCCTGTGATAGAATATACAAATTCTTAAATCAAAACCAAAATAAAGTTAAACATATTTACTTACAAAAGATCCCTTAAGAACAAAGGTAGCAAATTGTTGTGACACATTGAAATAAGGAAGAAATGGCCGTATGCACTTAGAATGTTTATGACTCTGAAAAAAAAAAATCACATACATTATCCAAATGATGTATAAGCTACCTTAGGGGAAAAAAAGTCCAATAGTTAATGCCCAAGATTAACAGAAATTAACATATACTAGATAACAAATATGAGTTTATTTCACATTTTTAAAGACTTTCTTATATTATTATCTTTACTGAATGTGTATTGTATGTTCCTAGTCAAATGCAAAGGTCAGTGGCATTTCAACTGGATCAAATTTTGAATTCATAGCTAAACTGTAGAAACATATGGCACGCAGATTAATTTTTTGTTATAACTGTTTTCCAACTAAAATACATCAAATAAAAAGCAAAAGCAAGGCTGTTTTCACTGAAAAGATATCTCATCTACATATAACTTTCGTTCTCATGTAAGAAGTAAAATATATATATATATAATGGATGTGTATATAGTATACATAGATATCAAATACACACTAAGGTCAGCTAAATATATGTAACATAGTTCTCACACTGCCATCATTTTTTACTAAATAGTCACTACTATGGGCTGAGATCAAAAGAAGTATGAGATATAATCCCTACTTTAAGAGATTCCACAGTCACAGAATACTTACAGTACAGTTTTATTTCAGGCTTTGCAGACAATTAAAAAACTACTTTCATAATCAGAGATTTCAATACCCATCTCTTAGTAATTGATAGTACAACTAGATGGACAATCAGCAAGGATATAAGAGATTTGAACAACACTACCAAACAAAGTGCCTTGACATCTATAAATGACTACATCTAGCAATAGCAGGATGCAAATTCTTTTCAAGTGCACATGGAACATTGACCAAACTACACCATACTCTGATCCATGAAGCAAGTCCTCATAAATACAGGAAGATTCAAGTCACAAAAAGTACTTTTAAAACCACAACAGAATTAAATCAGAAATGAATAACTGAAAACCTTCTGGAAAAGTCAAAAATATTTACAAACTATCAAATTTCTAAATAATCAATAGATCAAAGGCAAAATAAAAAGAGAAATTAGAATTTTCAGCTTTATGAAAATGAAAACACAACATATCACAATTTGTGATATGCCACTAAAGCAATACTTAGGGGGACATTTACAGTACTAAATACCTAGATTAGAAATCAAGAAGGGATTTGAGAGTTCAGCTTCTGTCTTGAGATACTAGAAAAATAGGAGCAAATTTTAAAAGATTATAAATTGGGTTCAGTGTATACTGCTCGGGTGATGGGTGCACTAAAATCTCACAAATCACCACTAAAGAACTTATGTAACCAAATACCACTTGTTCCCCAAAAAACTGTGGAAATAAATTTTTTTAAAAAAGTAAAAATAAAAATAAACAAAAAAAACAAAATAAGCAAGGAAAATAATAATGAGCGAAGAAGAATCAATTAAACAAAAACAAATTTTAAAACCACAAGAAAATAATAAAACCAAAAGCTGATCCTTTGAGAAGATCAATACAGTTGAAAAACTTCTAGCCAGACTAATAAAAGATCAGGTTGACAGAAAACATACATTTCAACAATAAGAAAGGTGACAACACTAGAGATTAGAGATTTGCCTAAGGGGACAGGCAAGGCATGAAATAGCTTCAAACCTTTTCTTAAAGGAATTGATATTTGACACAGAGCATAGAGACGTTTAAGACTAATGTTGCTCTAAAATATAATGGAGGTTTTGGTGAAAAAAAAATAAGAGACCAGTAGCTTCACCATAGGCATAAGCTAAACCACAGCCCAGCCTAGCATCCTGTTGAGAACCAAAAAAAAAAAAAGAAAAGAAAAGAAAAAAAGTGACAGTTAAAAAAAAAAAATCTCCTGTGGTCAGAAGAAAACTGAAATACTAACCTCAAACCACCCCTGAAAATGAGCTGGAATTTAATTGGATCAGTCTTTGCAACAACTTAAGCCGCCAGGGCATTGTTTAAAACAATACAGAAATCCACCAGCAGTTAGTGTAACTTACAGTGAGGTGTGATCTAGGAACCAGATAGAGTCCTGGAAAAACCAATGTCATCCCAGGGTGACTGTGGATATGCCCAAAGCCACATTCTCCAAGGAGCAACATTTCAGGCTTTACAGTGTGTATGGGGGAAGAGGGAGGGAATAGACTTAACTAAAATACTCCAGCAAATCACTAAATAAATAAATAAACAACAACAAGCCTTAAGTGGGAGAGGATCAATGCCCAGAGTTGCTAGCATGTATTATACATGAGTTGCTACCATATATTATATATAAGGTCCAGTTTCCAACAACACACAAAAAAGTAAGACATTCAAAGAAATAGGCATTATTTCATTCTTTTCTATGGCTGAAGAGTATTTTATGGTATATATATATATACCATGAAAAAAAAAAAAAAATATATATATATATATATATATTTCCTTATCCACTCATCAGTTGATGGGCACTTAGGTTGATTCCATATCTTTCAATTGTGAACTGTGCTACAACAAACATATGTGTGCAGGCGACTTTTTGATACAATGACTTCTTTTCTTTTGGGTAGATACCCAGTAGTGGGTTTGCAGGAATGAATGATAGATCAATCTACTTTAGTTCTTTGATAAATCTCCACACTGTTTTTCCTATAGGTTGTACTAACTTACATTCTCACCAGCAGTGGATAAGCACTCTCTTTTCACCACATGCATGCCCACATCTATTGTATTTTGACGTTTCTTAATGGCCATTCTGGCTGGCGTAAGGTGGTATCCCATTGTGGTTCTAATTTGCATTTCCCTGATGATTAGTGATGCTGAGCATTTTTTTCATCTGTTTTTTGGCTATTTGTATATCTTCTTTTGAGAAATGTCTATTCATGTCACCTGCCACATTTTAATGGGATTTGTGCTTTTCTTGCTGGTTTGAGTTCCTTATAGATTCTGGATGCTAGTCTTTTGTCAGATGCATAATTTGTAAATGTCTTCTCCCATTCTGTAGGTTGTCTGTTTACTCCAATGATTCTTTGCTTTGCAGAAGCTATTTAGTTTAATTAGGTCCCATTTATTTATTTTTGTTTTGCTGCATTTGCTTTTGCGGTCTTAGTCATAAATTATTTGCCTAGGTCAATGTACAGAATAATTTTTCCTAGATTTTCTTCTAGAATTTTCATGGTTTCAGGTCTTAGGTTGAAGCCTTTAATCCATCTTGAGTAAATTTCTGTATATGTTGAGGTGAGAGGTAGGGATGCAGTTTCATTATTCTATATGTTGCTATCCAATTTTCCCAGCACAATTTATTAAATGGGATGTCCTTTCCCCAAATTTATATTTTTGAATGCTTTGTCAAAGATCAGTTGGTTTTAAGTATTTGGCTTTATCTTTGGGTTCTCTATTCTGCTCTATTGATATATGACTGCTAGACCTGATAAACGAATTCAGGAAAGTTTCAGGTTACAAAATCAATGTACACAAACAATGTGCATAAATCAGCAGCACTGCTATACACCAATAATGACAAAGCTGAGAATCAAATCAATAATTCAATCTCTTTTAGAATAGCTACAAAAAATATATAAGAATATACTTAACCAAGAACCAATAGTTCTAAAAGGAGAACTATTATACAAAACACTACTGAAAGAAATAATAGATGATGCAAACAAATGGAAATACATCCCATGCTCATGGATTAGAAAAATCAATATTGTGAAAATGTTACTACAATGCCCAAAGTAATCTACATATTCAGTGTAATTCCTATCAAAATACCAACATCATCTTTCACAGAATTAGAAAAAACAATCCTAAAATTCATATGGAACCAAAAAAAGAATCCAAACAGCCAAAGCAATCCTAAACAAAAAGAACAATCTGGAGGCATCACATTATCTAACTTCAAATTATACTATAAGGCTATAGTAACCAAAACAGCATGTTATTCGTTTAAAAACATCAATTTATATATAAAGTAACAATGTCCTACTGAGTTTGCATCATGCAGTGTTGTGATATGTGTGCTAATAATAGAAAAAAAGGGGAAAGGGAACAGACCAACAAGGGAATTCAGCATAATCTACTGGAATTCGGTTAGTTTAAATCTGAAGTGAGTCCAGTAAGTTAAGATGTATATGGTAAGCCCTAGAATAATCACTAAAAAATAACTCACAAAAATATAGTGAATAATTAATATTGTTAACATGCCCGTACTACCCAAAGCAATCTATAGATTTAATGCAATCTGTATCAAAATGTCAAGGACATTCTTCACATAAATAGAAAACACAACCATAAAATTTATATAGGAACACAGAAGACCACAAACAGCCAATGCAACCCTGAGCAAAAAGAACAAAGCTGAAGGCATCACACTACCTGACTTCAAAATATACTAAAAGCCTATAGTAACTATTAATAAAACAGCATTGTTTTGGCACAAAAGCGGACACACAGACAAATGGAACAGAATAGAAAGTCCAGAAATAAATTCATGCCCTATGACCAACTAATTTTCAACAAAGGTGCCAAGAATACACACTGGGAAAAAGGACAGTCTCTTCAATAAACAGTACTGGGAAAAATGGACAGCCACATGCAGAAGATGAAACTGGATCCCTACCTCTCACAATATACACAAGTCAACTCAAAATTGATTACATACTTAAATATAAAACCCGAAACTATGAAACTAGAAAAAAACAAAGGGAAAATGCTTTATGACAATGAAGTGGGCAAGAATTTTTTTAAATAAGACCTCAAAAGCACAGACAAAGCAACAACAGACAAAGGGATTACATCAAACTGAAAAGCTTTTGCACATAGTTACCATGTGACCCAGCAATTCCACTCCTACATATATACCGAAGAGAACTGAAAACACGTCCACAGAAAAACTTGTACACATATGCTAATCCACATCATTAGTCATAACAGCCATGAAGGGGTTCAAGACACACTGCCCCCAAATATTTTACAGTGAAGTAATCTGAGAAAAATGCAGAAGCAGGAAGTTTACTCTCTGCCCTTCTCCTTTCTCCTCTGAAGCAGGTCGCAAAAGAAACAAAGTAAAACAGCCTACAAAATGGGAGGAAATATTTGCAAATTATACATGAGACAAGGGGTTAATATCTAGATTATATAAAGAACTTAAACAACAAGAACAACAACAAAATAGTCCGATTTGAAACTGGGCAAAAGACTGTTCAGACATTTCTCAGAAGAAGACATATAAATGATTAACGGGTACATGAAAAAATACTCAACATCACTAATCATCAGGGAAATGCAAATCAAAACCACAATGGGATACCACTTCCCTCTACTTAGAATGGCTATCACCAAAAAGACAAAAATAAAACAAGTGTTGGTGAGGATGTGGAAAAAAAGAAATACTTACTTAATGTTGGTGGGGTTGTAAATTGGTACAGCCACTATGAAAGATTCCTAAAAAATTAAAAATAGGCGGGGCATGTGGTAGCTCACGCCCATAATCCCAGCACTTTGGGAGGCTGAGGTGGGCAGATCACTTGATGTCAGGACTTCGAGACCAGCCTGGCAAATGGTGAAACCCTGTCTCCACTAAAAATACAAAAATGAGCCAGGTATGGTGGCAGGCGCCTGTAATCCCAGTCACTCAGGAGGCTGAGGCAGAAGAATCGCTTGAACCCAGGAGGCAGAGGTTTCAGGGAGCTGAGATTGTATCACTGCACTCCAGCCTGGAAGTGCAGAGTGACATCTGCCTCAAAAAAAAAAAAAAAAAAAATTAAAAGAACTACCATATAATCCAGTAATCCCACTACTGTGTATATATCCCCCAAAATAAAATATGTATTGTTGAAGAAGTATCTGCACTCCCATGTTTGTTAAAACACTATTTATAATAGCCAAGATATGGAATCAACCTGAGTGTTCAACAATGAATGCATGAATAAAGAAAGTGTGATATATATACACAGTGGAGTATTATTAGTCATAGAATGAAATCCTGATATTTGCAACAACATGGAGGAATATGGAGGATATCATGTTAAGTGAAATAAGCCAGACACAGTAAGACAAACACCTCATCACACTTACATGTGGAATTTAAAAAAAGAAGAGTTGCCATCACAGATGCAGAGAGTAGAACAGTGGTTACCAGACACTTGGGTAGGGCTGGGGAGGGAAGGACAGGAAGAGGTCGGTCGATGGGTCCAAAGTACCTATTGCACAGGAGGTATAAGTTCTGGTGTTTTATTGCACACTAGGGTGAAGATGGCTAACAGTAAGGTTTTGTGTATTACAAAACAGCTAGAAGAGAGGCTTTTGAATGCTTTCATTACAAAGAAATGATAAATTCATGAGGTGATGGGCATACCCTGAGTTGATCATTATCCCACATGTATGTATCAAAACATCAAATTGTACCGTGTGTCAATAAAAAACAAAAATTTCCTGATTTCAAAAGTTACCAGATAGCTACAGTACTTAAGACAGTGTGGTGCTCACATTAGGATAGATATATAGGCCAACAGAATAAAATTGAGGTTCCAGAAATAAACCCTCAAATTTATTGCCAATTGATTTTCAACAAGGGTGCCACGACAATTCAATGAAAAAGGAATAGTCTTTTCAAAAAACAGTGCAGGGACAACTGGATATCAAAATGCAAAAGAATCAAGTTGGACACACATATAACCCCAGTTAAGAAAGAAAATGGACCAAAAATCTAAATTTAAGAATTAAAACTCTAAAACTCTTAAAGGAATACATAAACATAAATCTTCAGAACCTTGAATTAGGCAATAATTTCTTAGATATGACACCAAAAGCACAAGAAACAAAAGAGAAAACAAAGTGGACTTCATCACAATTTAAAACTTTTTTTAATTCAAAGGGTACCATTAAGAAAATGAAAGACAACCCATACAAAGGGAGAAAATATCTGCAAATTATATTTCTGATTTCTGATAAGGAATTTTTATATAGAATAAAGAACACTTATGACTCAATAATAAAAACACAAATATTCCAATCTAAAAATGGGGAGAGTTTAAACAGACATTTCACCAAAGAAGATATACTACTTGCCAATAAGCACATGAAAAGATCCCCACATCATTAGTCCCTAGGAAAATGCAAATCGAACTACAATAACAGCACTTCATATCCACTAGGATGGCTATAATCAAAGGCACAGACAACAAGAACTGTTGGGGAGGATGTGGAAAATTGTAAGCTTCATAAACTACTGGTGGCAATGTAAAATGGTGTAGTAACTTTAGAAAACAATTTGGTAGTTCCTCAAAATCCTAAAGACAGAGTTACCATGTGACCTAGCAATTCCACTCCTAGATATATACCCAAGAGAACTGAAAACACATCCACAGAAAAACTTGTACACACATGCTAATCCACATCATTAGTCATAACAGCCATGAAGGGGTTCAAGACACACTGCCCCCAAATATTTTAAAGTGAAGTAATCTGAGAAAAATGCAGAAGCAGGAAGTTTACTCTCTGACCTTCTCCTTTCTCCTCTGAAGCAGGTCATAAGACCCTCATTCAACAGGTGCTCTCCCTATATTCCTTATCTCTGAAGACAGTTTCTGGTGAAGATGAGATGCCTACTCACTCTACGAGCCTGCAGATGAGATCCTGAGACACTGACAAAAAGCTGGCAGAAAGGTAAGAATTCTCACCAAGTCCTGCTCTTCTAGATCTCTGCCTGAAGTACTTGATTAAGAGAAGACAATTAAAAACAAACAAACAACAAAAAAAACTTCTCATCCTTTCCTCTCCAAATTCAGATTAGCAGAAGAAAAATATTTGTTTGGTTTGTGACTCTTATATAAATTTAGTTTTGGGTACTCATTACCTGTAGATCCCTTCCCTCCCAGGGTCAGCTATTGCTTTCCTATTTGTCTCATTTTGTCCACTGAGAACCTGGCTTGACTTCACAACACCTGTCAGGGATGTGTGAGCTGTCAGTTTTGCGTATGCAGGCAGCCAACTTCAAGGTGGGGGCCCCAAGAGTACAACCGGACAAAAATGTGATTTGCACTCCATTGGCAGCTAGTTTACCAACTACTGCCAGCTCTGACGGGGAGTGGGGAGTAGGGAGGTTATCTGGGTCCTTCTTTTGACTATCCTTGGGAGTGGTTCTAGGTCTTTGGAGGATCACTTCTCAGCCTTTTATTTAAAAAATTTTAGCCATGAGTCACAAAACATAGCACACAACTTGTATTTACATGGAAATACATAAGCAGACAGACAGACGCCAAGATCTTATGGCTTTTATTTTAAAAATTTTAGCCAGGAGTCATAAAACATAGCACACAACTCACTGATTTATACAAAATATTCGGCTCTCATCCTTTCTCGGTGATCAAGTGTAGATTTTGGGAGGGCTGCATCTTTTTACACCCTCTTTTAAGAATCCTCTTCACCCAGGGTAAGACATAAAAGGCTTATTGTTTTGCGTTGTGAGTCACTTAATAGATACCTTTGGTTTAAAAAATCAATACTGCCAGGAATATCTACTCTTTGTCCTGGCTCAAACCTGATGGTAGGCTATTTGAAAGAATTTTTTTTAAGAGTCTATGGTCAGGAGTTGGACAAACTGTAGGCTGACATTCAGAACCTGATATGATACACATAAACACACACACACACACACACACACACTTACACTTTTTTAAAGGTTACTCTGTTCTCTGTTTCGGATCTTACTTCTCCCATGGGAACTTAATTGCTAAAAATCCTTCTTCACATAAGCCCTGCTGACTATATGCACTTCCCATTCTGTTTACCTCCTTCTTGTTGGAACTTCATTGACCTCTTTGGGAAGCTTGAGATCTCCCCAAACTGGTACCTCTAAGACTTCTTCTCTCCATTTGGTTCTGCTTCTCCATCCACCTTTTTTCACCTTCATTCTTTCATTCAGTTCTCTTGAATCCTTGATATGTCCGCCTTCAAGGTCCTACCTCTTCCCATGCCTCTGTCCACCTGTCAGACCTATTCCCTTCCTACTCAAGCCCCTCAGTCACCTGAATTTTAAGCTCCTTGCTCTCAACAGACTTAAGGTCTCCCCAAAACAACCCAAAACAACCTGAGGATGAAAAAGGAAAAAGTCACAGCCTCCATAAGATGACATATCAGGGCAAGGGAAGGTCGTGAAGGTCTTCTCCACAAATATTGGTAAATAGGTAACCTTAATTTTGTCCCAATTGCCAGAAACAAAGTGGAGGAAAGATGAGAGCTGACTATTTTGTATAAATCAGTGAGTTGTGTGCTACATTTTACGACTCATGGCTAAAATTTTTTTAATAAAAGCCATAAGATCTTGGCATCTGTCTGTATGCTTATGTATTTACACGTAAAAAAAGTATTCAGTTTTATATAATGTTATTTTTCCAATAGTAAAGAAGTGAGTTAACCCAATAGCAACAACAAAAGTTTACCATGGTTTCAATGATGATGGTGAGGTTCCCTAAGCCATCAGTCAGAGCTACATAGCTTCCTCCTTTCTCTAAATGGCCAACTGTCTTCAGGTAATACCAGCCAGGTTGAGTAAACTGAGTGGTATGAGCTATAGAAAAACAAAGTTTGAAATAAGATAAAAATGGCAATAATAGTATTTCTTTTGGAAAAAATAAAGCTGTATATCAGTTTAGGTCTGATTGATTCAAACAAGGTATTTTCTATTTTGGAGGAATGTATCTGTCAACCTCGTGTTTAAATTTTTAAATAATTAATCTAGCTAAATGAAATAATTGCAAGAAGAAGATAGGTAAAAATAAATGAACCTGTCAGTTCAAGAATATGATCAGTCTTTTTTTCAAGAACACAATAGTTATTCCCCCACAACCTTAGTTCCTCACTATTTAACCCATCCTAAAATAGCTACCAATAAAAAGGTTAAAAAAGTTAATAACGAATTTCAGAAACTAACTTTATGGTTTCAAACATATTTATTTCCACCACATGTACACTTATTGGTCACCTCCTAAGCTCGTCCTGAAAATGCACTGAGCAATATACCATGTCCCAACCCTTGGAAAAGTCACAAAATTAAGAGCATTAGTTCATCTAGATAATGTGGGGCCAACAATTTCAACATTCAAGGGGCTGATATACAAGTCTAACCTTAATTTTCTCATATGATTCTCAATATTAGAATATACAAGTTTAATACACAAGTCTAACCTTAATTTTCTCATATTTTTGGGAGGATAATTTAAGGAGTTTAGAATAACATCATGATTACATGATTAATATGATTACAAATCTGTCTTAGGAGAGCACAACTAAAAGGGAAAACCACCAAATTTAAGTTTAAAATAAAAACAAATTCACTCCAAATTCATAATTTTCTTCTGAAAGGATTTTACCTTTAAAGAAATTAGCTTTTTAGAAAGATTGTTAGGATTTTTAAACAAAATGGTCATAAATGTTTAATATTTTACAAAAAAAAATTGCAGAAAAAATTTCAACATTATTCAGCAACAGATTTTGTTATTTTGTTTAGATTATATTCACTATTAGTATGGTTATATCTCTTCATGAAAAAGTGACACTATGCCATGCATCCCTGCATAATCTCAACTTCCGTTGTGACTAAGGAATGATACTGTACCGAAACTTTTGTATTTCAATAAAAAATGGATGTATTATCTATAGCCCTGCTCATTGTCTCTGAGCTATATAAATTATGTCTTGTCTGGTAGAAATTTAATTAATTTCTTCCCTGTTGTGGGAAACCCAACTTACCTCCATTGACAATTCATCTCCAGTTCCCTTACACTACAAAAATGTGTGCTATGCTGACTTTTTATTTGAATTGTTTCTAACATCTGCCATGTGCCAGGATCCTTCGTATCATATGGGTAACATAAAATCTTCAGTATATGCTCATTTTAAATCTTTATAAGCTTTACATTGTTACCTATTTTGAAATTTACCTTTTCACAACCCACATTTCACAGATTTAGGGGACAGTATAAAGCCATATTTCACATAACTTTCATATTTACTTATTCATTTGATGATTCAATAAATATAGTATTTTTAATCATCTACCTTTGATTTTGCTAGCATATTATTCTAATTGAAACTATATTAATATAAAAGAACAAAGTGTCTCCAAAGCTAATCTTAAGACTTCTAGATACTCTGTTTACAAATACATAATTTTATTAGCAATTATCATCATTTGTAATTATATCCTTAGATGATTATTAATTTCAGCTCTTCCTTTCCCTCTCTGTCTCCTCCTGTCCTACACTTTTCTAAAAGCCTGGTCTTACAACAATCAGAGAGTAGTCTAGTTACCCAAAATATTCTTATAAAACACTGGCAAATCTTGCTTAGATCACATACTTAAAACACGCATAGACACACAGTTTATATAATCTTCTCTAAGTGTTTTTCTGTTGTCTCTTAGAGAAGAATTTAGGGAGTGAGAGATGGAACTGAACCATACCTGACACCCAGACAGGAGATTCTACCACGTAGTGACCACTCCATGGCTCCTGGGCTGTCATCAACCCGCATCTCCCATAAGGCAACTGTTCATAGTAACTAGCCACTAAATTCCATGCGATTGTGCTAAAAGATGTGTTTGATAAAAAAGAAACACCAAGACAACTTGTGATAAAAATATAAATGTCGAAAAACCTGGAGTAAAAAGACTTTATCACAGTAATACACATCTATGTAAATGACAATAAAACGATCACCCAAAATAAGAAAATATAAGTTGTCTAAATTTATTCACATTTTGAAAAATCCAGTGTTGGGTACATTTTAATATTTTTAATGGTGAATCACATGATAAAAAATACAAATGTATTATGTGCAAGATTTTTACTGAAAAGTGGTATAGCCAGAAGACAAATCATGCCTTACTAGCACCCGACACATCACAAATTTGAGTCAAATACAAATAAAGGCTTTGTGCATACCTACTTTCAACAGTCAGCCTTCTCAATGCCCCAGTTTCATGACATAATTTTTATGAACTTGACTCTGAACTGTTCCAAAGTTTTACAATTGAGAATTCTTAGAGTCAGACTGCCTGGGTTTAAACCATAGTTTCACCACTTAACCTCTCTGTAAAATGAGGATAATAATTACATCTCTCTCATGTGAGTTTGTAAGGATTAAATGTACTAATGCATAGGAAGAGTACGGAACAAGGTCTGGGCTGTAGTATTGCTATTAAATATGATTCCACTTCATCTACAAGTAGTAGTTGGATCCGACTGCTGATCTGCTTTGTGGCCCATTCTTTCTCAGATGATCAGGCCCTAACAGTCAGAGCAGGTGCTAACCCCTAAAACTTTGACTCTCTGGTTCTCAGGATATCCAAGGGCAAAATGGAAGTTCTTGAACTTGGTATTGTTGAGTCTCTCACAGATTAAAAAAGCACAGAGCTTACCCACAGAATTTTATTTTTTTTATCAAGTCCTCATCCAGCATTAAAAAACAGACTGACATTCTTAGCAAATCAAAGCCTTCTAATTCTATCAATACGAAGTAGAAATAATAGTCCTAATTTTCTTTTTTTCTTTTTTTTTTTTTTTTTTTTGAGACGGAGTCTCGCTCTGTCCCCCAGGCTGGAGTGCAGTGGCCGGATCTCAGCTCACTGCAAGCTCCACCTCCCGGGTTCACGCCATTCTCCTGCCTCAGCCTCCCGAGTAGCTGGGACTACAGGCGCCCGCCACCGCTCCCGGCTAATTTTTGTATTTTTTTAGTAGAGACGGGGTTTCACGTGTTAGCCAGGATGGTCTCGATCTCCTGAACTCGTGATCCGCCCGTCTCAGCCTCCCAAAGTGCTGGGATTACAGGCTTGAGCCACCGCGCCCGGCCTATAGTCCTAATTTTCAAAACACCTTACTATTAGTGAATATTTTAAGTTCTTGTAATTTTGCCCATGGTTTGCAAGATACGTGGTATCCTTTCTGGCTAGTGACAGATGTATCACTCAAGACAAGCTTTCTGGAGGGCATTTTGTAAAATACATACAAAACCCTTCAAAATCTATATATCTCTGACCATTCCATTTCTAAGAATACAGCCTAAGAAAATAGTCATGGGTATGTACAAAGATATTGGTATACAATTGATCATTTCAGTTTGTACAAAGCTATTAATTAAAACAGAGACAACTTCCAATTCTAAAAAGAGGAAATATTCAATAAGGAATAATATATTTTCCACATCAGTGTTTCCCAACTTGTGTAGCATCAGAATCACTAGGGGGCACTGACTAGATGGACAGAACCCCAGGAGCCTTCCCTGTAGATTCTCATTCACAATGTCTGGGCAGCTGCCAAGGAGAAGGTATAACAAGTGTCTCGGGTGCTTCTTAAGGCAAGTTTGGGAAATGGTGCTTTATGTAACAGAATGTTTTAAAATGCATTTACAGCATTAAACATGATGAAGTAGAAATATAGGTAAATGTGAGAAAAAGTTCCTAATGTCATGTCAAGTGAAAAGCAGTTTTTTAAACAGATTCTATAGTATGGTCTCAATTTTGTATTAAAAATGTATACATGCCAATATAAAATAGGAGGACATTCACTAAAATTGTTAAGGATAGTTAGCTCTGGATCATAAGACTGTAGGTGATTTTGCTTCTTTCTTTGTACCTATCTTCAGTTTTCTAAATTCTCTGCCATGAAGATGCCTTACCTTAAGACCAAATTAAGTTATAACCAAACTTTCCTTAAGTATCTTTTCTTTCACAAAGAGAAGAAAAAGAACAAATACAATATATAGCAACCCACATTAATATCACAATAAATATATAAATATTGGTTTGCTTTTGTTCTATGTTTCAGAACAAAAAAGAACAAAATTTAGGAACAAAATGTGGTTCATTGTTTAGAAAGCTAATTGCAATCTATTCACAATTAAAGTGTTTTTCAAAGCATTTAAGAAATGGTTCCCTTAGGAACATAAGTTGTGTTCTCCCTTAAGAACATCTGTTTTTAAACAACAGATTACACACATTAAGTGATGCCATGAGGAATCAATCAGACAGGCTGGGAAGCAGACAGTCCACAAGACAATCAGCCTGGTCTTTTCAACAGATCACTGTCATCAAAAATGAGGAATAAGGAAGCTACTCTAGATTAAAGGAGACTTGAGGGGCGTAACTTTTAAATGCAATATGTGCGTGTTTGACTATTCCTTTTCTTAAAAAAAGCTACAAATGACATTCTGGGGGAACAATTAGGAAAATCTGAATATAGACTGAGTATTAAAAACACTCTCATGTATGAAAAAATGATACTGTGATATGTAGAAGAATATCCTTGTGTTTTGGAGACACATGCTAAAACATTTAGAGATAAAGTGTCCTTACATATACTATTTACTATATAATTATTAAAAATATATGTAGCTTGTCAAAAATCAGAGAGCTGCATGTATTTTGCTACATATAAATTATACCTTAATAAACCAGACTTTATTTAATATAGACCATATTCAAATATAGAAAATTAGATGTAGATTAAGTATAGGTATAAAAATAGAAAATGCTAATAAGGCAAAATGTTTACAATCATTGAATCTAGGCTGGAAGAATAAGGAAGTCCACTTTTTTCTAACTCTTGTGTTTTAAAATTTTTTATAATAAAAACTCTAAAAGGTTTTTAATAACTTACGAAGTCATATAGCCATTGACATAATTCTGATTTAAAATGCGACCCCAGCAGCCTGCACCCGTGTCACTATTTAAAGTGCTAAAGTCTTCAGAAGACCAAAGCTTCTTCCCAGTCAACCTTGCATCTTTTACTGAATGGGTTCCAGGATAATGAGCCCTAGGGAAAAAAAAGGGTGGGAGTCAATGACAAAAGGTCACAATGTGGCACTTATATACATATATATTTGTTGAGTGTATAAAAACACAAGTCTTCTCCAAGGTTTTCTATTTTAAAACAGTTGGGTAGCTTCCAGGTAGATAATGAATGTAAGCATCTGCTTTACGCCCTTCTGTCTCAGCATGCCATTAAAATGACAGCAAATAAAACAAAAGGGGATAAACCTACAACAGCATACTGGATAGGAAGGAAAATCATCAATAGATAGGAAATTTCAGTCTATTTCTGGAACTCACAAAATGGATGGAAGCATGTTGACGGATGGAGGTAGCAGACAGGGCCACAGCCTAGAACACCCCAAGAGGAGAATGAAGTAAAGATAAGATTCAGACTTCCCAGGGGAAGCTAAGGAGCTTGGGGCAATAGTAAATGAGTGAGGAGGAGGCCAAAAATAAGATTAGTGAAACCTTTATATAAAGTAGTACTCTCCCCTCTACTCCTGTCCTTAGAACACAGAAAGATAGCTTGGCATTTACTCCCAGGCCAAAAACAAAACAAAACAAAACAAAAAACAATACCCACAAATGGTTATTTCTTGAATAAAAAGAATAAACTACCTTGGGAAAACTAGAAATTACTGTATCAGAGCAGAGGTGGTTCTCAACCCAGATGATTTTTGTCCCTGGAGGGAATATTTGGCACTATAGGGAGATATTTTTTCAACTGTCTCACCTGGGGTTGAGGATATTTGTTACTGGCATCTAGTGAAGAGAGGCCAAAAATGCTGCTAAACATCCTACAATGCATAGGACCAACCCCTACAACAAAAAAATTGGCCATTAAAAATATCAATAGTGCAGCAAGTGAGAAACTGCCCCAGAAAATGAATGCCTCCTTCATCCTATCATTCGATGGGAGGGGAGTCAGTCAGTGGAAGTATAAATACATATTCATTACTGCAAGAGCAAAATACTCCCATAATGATGACTGTGGAAGTACTGATTATAAGAATAAAGACAATAAATTTTAAATAGAAAATAGATTGACAATCCAATAAGAGAGCACACTAGCTAAATAACTGTAGGAATAAGGGCATCTACTTTTTAGTTTAGCAATTATTTACAAAAAAATAATACAAGCAAAATAATGGAGATTAAGTTATACCATAATTCTAATCTTTGTAGTTTGGTATAGTAGTATTTATAACATCAAAAAATGATTGTGAATACTTGTGTTATTTTTTAGTTATTTAATTCCATTTTAGGTCACAAATCTTTTAGGAAAAAAATCCTATTTGGTAATTCTTTATACCTAGTGAAGATGAATTAGGGCACAATATCAATTTGGCATTCCAGGATTTCATGAGTAAGAAAATAATATACAATATATACTGGAGAACATAAAAAGAAGTATTAGAGAAAAACGAGGTTCCACTAAGATTTTACTGAGTCACTAAACTCAGGTGAAAGCAGGCATCTATTCAGTATTGCAAATCTACACTACAAAGAAATCTAGCATCTAACAGGGTTAAGCAATCATCGTTGTGGCACTATAACACCCAACCTGAAAAATCTGGCTACTAGTCTTTTAACTAATATAAATTCAAAAAACTACATTTTTAGATTTACTCTTCTATCCCACAACTTCATTCTGTCTCCATGAAATTCAGCTTTGTTACCTCAGCCAAATGTTAATTTTTAATACCCCATCTAGTTGTCATCCAGTTGTCTAGTTGCCAAATGCATGTTTGGTGTATTTGGTTAAAATATATTTCTATATTAAAGAAAACCCTGGAAAGTAATATGCTAGCATGTTACCAATAAGCAGTAGATGTTAGGATTATGAGTATATTCTATCTTAATACTTTTCTACATTTTCCAAAGTCTCTATAATGAGCATATTATATTTATAAAATGAAAAAGTAACTTTACTGAAGTTATAGGAATAGGGGGTATATCCTTCATTCAGAAAATGAAACTGTTACTACATTCAAAACCCAAATGATTTATTACATGATCTGAGCAAAGAAAGGCAGAACTAATACTAAAATCTGGGTCTTTCTCTACGTATATATTTATTCCTAGTGCAACAAAATGTAAAGGCTCTTTAAGAATATAAATTTTTAATGTACATAAGCAGGCAAACATTCTCTATCATTTCACAGCATTATTTTTCAAACTTCAATTACAGACAAAATTAAGATAATTGAAAGTGAACCAACTTCATAGTTTATCCTAACAGAGGAACATATTTGTACTTTAAAAAATTAGAATTTTTGGCCAAGGCAGAACATGACAGCAGCCCAGTTTCTGAAGCTCCTCAGTACTCCTCCTGAAACCAAACAGACCAACCAGATAAGGGAAAGGAAAAACAGATAACACTGCCATCAAACCAGGTGATAGAGACTCTCCCCAGGAGCCTCACAGCATCAGAAATGGCCCAGGATCAGCAGATGGTATATGGAAACTGGAAGTGAAAGGGGATTGGCTGGTACTCACAAAAAGGAGTAGACCCTATCCTAAGTGGGAGAATAGAAGACCAACTCAGGAAGATGGGAACATCTTCACAGGCTTGAAGTTAGGGGAGAATGCTCAAAACCGTGAATTCACTAGGAGATCAAACCCAATACCGTAAGAGTTCAAACTAGATTTGTCCAGTAGAAATATAATATGAACCACACATACATTATAATTTTAAATTGTCTAGCAGCCACATTAAAAACCAGCAAAGGTCTTTACCACAATAAAACACATAAATGAAAAAAATTTAATTTAATTTACAAAGCAGAAAAACATAGAGAACATAATTTTAATGATATATTTCACCCAATATACCCAAAATATTATCATGTAACATGTAATCAGTGTAAAACAATTGTAAATAATATTTTTATATTCAATTTTCAAAACCCAGTGTGTATTTTATACTTATAACACACCTAAACTCAAACTAGCCACATTTCAAGTGCTTCCTAAACATATGTGTCTAGTGGCTACTGTATTGAACAACACAGGTTTAAGCAATAACAATTTCAGGAGAAGGTAGCAAATAATCAGGAATGACAGAGCTTCAACATAAAAATAAGCTGTTTGAAGTAGAATCCAAGTTGAATAAGGCAGGAACACTTCGTGTAAAGGAGAACAACTTTCAGTCAGTAAGAATGGGGCCCAGCAGAAACAGACTCTAGAAAGTACTGTAACTGTAAAACAAAAATCTTCAGATATAGCACAGGCCAAGCACAACATGAATGAGGCAGGAAGGAATAGTCTTCCTGTGAAGATGTGAGCCAAGAAATATCTCCTGAACAAAATTCCAACAGCCAAAAATTGGAAACAGTCTAAATGACCATTAAAAAATAATACACAGATAAGTTGTGGTATACTACACTTAGCATCTAACAGTTGGATGCTAAACAATAAATATGAACTACCTCTATATATAACAACATGCATTCATCTCATTTATATAATATTGACTGAAATAACAGCTACTATAAGATGCCATTTAAATAAAGTTTTTAAACCAGCAAAATTAGTCCATGGTGTTAGAGGTCAGATTAGTAGTTATCTTTAAGGCAAAAACAGAGGTTAATGATTAGAAAGATTTCCAAGGAAAAATCTTTCCAAGAGGAGATATCAATAACCAAGCTTCTTGGGCACTGATAATTTTCTGGGTAGTGGTTACATAGGTACGTTCGCTTTGTGGTAATTCATTAAGCTATAATCCGATGATTTTTGTACTTTTATATATGTATGTTTGTATGCTATACTTCAATTAAAAATTTTTTAAAGATGAATTGTTAGTGATATAGAAAATGAGAGAATTATAGAATTATTTTAAAAATCACATTTTAGAAATGAAGGCTAAACTAGAAGGAACATTAGACAGAAGAGACACTGTGGAAAACACAGTAAGGAATATAGAATAGTAAGGATAAAATAATAGAAAACGTAAATAAAGAGGTAGAGAAAAATTCAGAGAAATACAAAATAAAGGCTATGCAAATAAGAGCAAGATGTATAACTGGGACATCAAAAAAGAAAACCAAAGTAATGGAGTGGAATTATGATTTAGCTTATAACTTAAGTAAACCTTACTAAGAAAATACTTAAATATAGACATTAAGAGATGCATATACTATATATCTGGAAATGGTAAGGTGTATACAACAACTAAACTTTAAAGATGAATAAAAATATTCTTTGGGCATAAAGGAATTGTGTCAAGTTACTTATAAGGAAAAGGAAATATCTCTGGAGTCGAAATTCTCAATAGCAACATTTTATGTAAATAACCAATAGAGCAAATTTTATGATACTCAAGGATTAAAAAAGGATTATATCCAGTCAAACTGTCCTTCAGGTATAAAGGTCATAGATAAACATCAATAAACATCTAAACACATCAAGAAATATTGTTTCCATTAGCACTTTCTGAGACATTTAATAGATAATTACACTTCTGACATCCAAGAAACTGAGGGAGAAACTTCGGCAAAAGACTTGAAGGTGAGCATTTAATATGTTTAATGGTAGAGCTAGATTAAAAGAAATAGTAATTAAATTATGGCCGGGCGCGGTGGCTCAAGCCTGTAATCCCAGCACTTTGGGAGGCCGAGACCAGTGGATCACGAGGTCAGCAGATCGAGACCATCCTGGCTAACCCGGTGAAACCCCGTCTCTACTAAAAAATACAAAAAAAAAACTAGCCGGGCAAGGTGGCGGGCGCCTGTAGTCCCAGCTACTTGGGAGGCTGAGGCAGGAGAATGGCGTAAACCCAGGAGGCGGAGCTTGCAGTGAGCTGAGATCCGGCCACTGCATTCCAGCCTGGGCGACAGAGCGAGACTCCGTCTCAAAAAAAAAAAAAAAAAAAAAAGTAATTAAATTATATATAAATATTACACACTTGGCTAAAGTACAACTAATATAGCTACATGAAATAGGACAAGAGGGAAAGAAGGTGAAATGTAAACTAAGTTTGCAGATTATCTGGGAGTAAACAGTTAAAACTTGTAGCTGTCAAATCAATATAGTAGAAGCTTAAGTTCATGTAAGTTCATTTAAGAGTACAAAAATTAAAAGTAAGATAATTCTAGTAATTAAAATTCCATGGTAGGGGAGGAAAGGGGAGGAAGAAGTTATCAAATAATTGTAGTATTGCTTATAGTAAACCAATGGACAATAACTAAATGAAGAGGAAACCACGAGTATTAGTATGAAGCAGTTCCTCAATCTCAGCACTATTAATATTTTGGGCTGGATCATTTTGTGTTATGGGAAAACTATCCAGTGTACTAAAGGATATTTAGAAACATTCGTGGCCTCCATCCATCGGATTCCAGTGGCATCACCCTACCTATTTGTGGCAATTAAAAATATTTCCAGGCATTGCCAAATGTCCCCTGGGAGGCAAAATTATTCTCAGTTGAAAATACCTGTATAAATCAGTATAAATATAATTGATAGAACAAAAAACAAAACTTGCTAAATAACAAAAGAAACACCTCCTTAAATAAGTGCAAAGTAAACAAATCATATAGCAGAATAGCTTGTATTAGTACATGGATAGTATAAATTATTCAATAACAAGAGACAATGTAATAGCATAGAAAACACAAACATCAGTTATATTTAAAAATGAGTTTAACTCATTGATTAAAATATAAAGATTTTCAGAGGAGCTTTAAAAAAGCAAAATCGAACTCTATGCTATTTGCAAGCAATGCACATAAAAGAAAATGGCCTTGAAAGGTAAAGAATAAAAGGGCAAAAATATATTAGGCAAATCCTAATGAAAAGAAAGCAGGGATCTCTTAATCACACAGAAAGCAGAATTCAGGCCAAGAAGCTTTAAACGAGACAAAGAATGGCATTTTCTAATGATAAGAAATAAATCATAATGAAGATAAAACATTCATCAGTATTTATGTACCAAATAACAAAGCAGAAGCTTCCACACAGCAAAAACTGCCTAAGATTGAAAGGAGAAACAGACCTAACACAAGGAAACAAACACACCTGGTAGCTCTGAACAGTTCAAGTGGACGAAATAGTTAAGATCCAAACACCTGAACAATATAATCAAAAAGGTAGATGTTATAAACTCAATTCTGTATCCTAATAAAGAATACATCTTAATAAGTCAAAATATGCTCTTGAGATAGTCAAGAAAAATGCAAAGGTTTTTTTCAGATTTTTAAAAATAAGCTCCTGAGAAATTTCCCCCAAAATTGTAAATAATACATTTGGTATTAAATGGCCACAATGCAATAAAGTTAGAAATTAATGATAAAACAGCCCTATGAGATAAAACTAAGGCAGTACTCAGAGGAAAATTCATTACATTAAAATACCTATATCAATAAAAAATGAAGTACATATCCAAGTCCTTCATGAAGATACAGTAAAACCCATACTTTCATTTAATATTAAGAAAATACATTTAGATGAACACAACTTTGTTTTCCTTCAAGACTTCAACTATTTATGAAAGCTTTTAACAACAGCAAAACTTTAATTTTAATTTCAATGTATAAAATGTTTAAATATAATGAAGAAATTTTATTTATCTTGCAAAAAAAAATTAAGCCTAAATCTAACCTAATCACACCTTCACCAATTTCAAAAACCATTGAAAAAGGAGAGATGAGCAAGTTATTACTGTAGGGGTGAAATCAGTAAAATCCAGACTGACACAAAGTTTATAAGACAAACAACCCTATTCTTCAACAAATTAAAAAGAAAGAAGAGCAAGAACCTAAAGATTAGAACAGATTTAAATATCAACCAATCACAAGGTATGAATTTTAAATGGCTCCAGATTCAATCAAATAAAACTATAAAATAATAATAATGGATATTTAATATAAAAAACTATTACATTTTAGGTATAATTATGGTATTGTTTATAGTAAGTAGAAAAATAATCCTTATCTTTGGAGACACACAGTAATATTTTTATGGAAGAAATAATGTCTGGGATTTCTTTCAAAGTAATGTAGGCAGGAAGGGAAGAGGAGTAGATAGACGCATGGATGAAGATTGGTCATGGGTTCACAGTTCAGGAGGCTGAGTGGTAAGAACAAAGATATTCACTGTATTATTCTGCCTATTTTTGTGTACATTCAAAATTCTTCATTAAAAAAATAAAGCACATGGAGAGATCAATCAGTGTTCACACTGGATAAAGAACAAATTCTACACACATACATACACATACACACACACACACACATATTCTATTTTTCAAATGTTTATATCCTGTGTCACGGTAGGAAAAATGTAAATTCACTTTTTTAAAAAAATGAACTCAATGAGGTCAGGGCCCAGAGGGCTAAAAGGCAGAAATGGAATAAGGAGTAGGGGTCAAAACTATACTACTAAGGAGGCATGACAAAAGTTATCGTCAGTGACCATAATGAACCACTTACGAAAGTGTTCATGCAAGAACTTCCAGCCACAGAATATCTGAGAGTTAGAAACTAATTTCACAACTTTGCCTTTATAATTTCTAAAATTAAATACAGGTATTACTCTGCCCCTTAATCTAAAACAAAGCTCAGTTTTATGATTCCAAACATCAGTATGTTTTTTAAAAGTTATCAATACATGTTTGTCACAGAAAGATCCTAAAATACATTTAAAAGCGAAAGTAATGAACCATGAGCCATGCATGCTTCAGATAAGTAAATACAGGACAGCTACTTTCTGAGAATGTAATCAAATGGGGAGAGGCAAGAAACAGTCAATACACAGAGCAAGCAATCAGAAACTGCTAGTTTTCCAAGTAAACATGCCTTACCCTATAACATCAACCACCTTGAAGAGTTCAGCATCAAGTAGCATGGCTGCAGAGATGGACTCCCAGAGATTATCACTTGCTATGATTTTCACTCGCTGGAGACCTTGAGAGTTCAGCATTTTTCTTAATATCTTTTGGAGTAATAAACAGAAAATATGAAAGGATACAAATGAATTTTTAGCTGTTGAATTTATGATCAAGATAGATAAAGTATCTTTACAAATCAGCATTCTGGATAATAGCTTTTTTGTTGTTGTTTTTGTTTTTCTCAGACAGAGGCTCACTCTGTCACCCAGGCTGGAGTGGCAGGTTCTCAGCTCACTGCAACCTCTGTCTCTCAGGCTCCAATGATTCTCCTGCCTCAGCCTCCTGAGTAAAAGAGATTATAGGCACGCGCCACCACACCCAGCTAATTTTGGTATTTTTTAGCAGAGACGGAGTTTCACTATGTTGGCCAGGTTGCTCTTGAACTCCTGACCTCATGGATGATCATTTCAATACTATATTTTCTCAATAGAAACATGCCTCCTACGGAAAATAAAAGCATTATCATTAAGATAACCTACTTCACTAGGAATGTAAAAAGAAAAAAAACACAAGGGGTAAAACATTTTAGAGGATTCTCACTTTAACTTTAAAATTACATTTAACCATAGAAATATGCGGGGGAAAAGAAACAAAAATAATCAAGTAGTACTACCCTGAAATAACCACTATTATTTTGCTATGCATTCTTCCAGGAAGTTTCCTATGCAGACACAATAATAAAATGGGTAACATATTAATCATACCATTCGGCAAAATGCTTTAACTTATCATTTTAAGTATTTTCCAACGTCTTCAAATATTCTGCTTTATTAAACAGGAGAGGACATAAAATTTACCTGTAGGACTGTCCAGCCACAAAATTAAAAGTAACAAGATAAATTCTAATGGGAAATAAATCAAACAAACAGCACCTATTTTAGTACTCAATACTTGGACCCCATGCAGACTCTAAAAGAAGTATGAGATGGAGTCCTCACCCTTAGGTGGCAAACACACTCAACAGGGCACCAACATTAACAGGGCGTACTAGAAAATCAAAGGGAAGGTAACATACCAAAACGTATGGATTGCCTATATGTAAATCAAGAGCAGAGAAGAGGAGACATCATTTTACTCAGGATCAGGAAGATCAGATTTCATACCATAAGCAGTTCTTGATGAATGGATACAAACAAACCCACCACTATACCCCCAAGGACTCAGAAATCTCTGGCACATAGCAGCAGATGCCCAATACTACTGGCTGAAGAAATTAAGAAAGAACAAAGAATTTCACAAGCTCTCTCTTCACATTCCAACTTCTCTGAACTAGGGGAATTTCCAATTAATGTGCTCTTTTAGGACGCAAATAATAAAAGCTCCAATTAAATCCATGGCCTACTTTTCAACAGATGGTTTCTTAAAACAGATATATTACAGGATTTTAGAAAACGTGGTGAAAATTAGAGGTGGCAATCTAATTTCATCTTTCAAACCAGATCAGCTGAGTCCTAGGACACCCTAGAAGCAGCATGAACAGATCCTTCATAGCAAACCAAGACCAACTCTCAAGATTCAGTAGGACTGAGAATCCCTATCCCTCTAGCAGGAGATCAATCCTGAATTTCATCACCCTGAAGTTCTTCCTTTTCTTTGAGATGGTGTTTCGCTCTTGTTGCCCAGGCTGGAGTATGATGGCGCAATCCTGGCTCACTGCAACCTCTGCCTCCCAGGTTCAGCAATTCTCCTGCCTCAGCCTCTTGAGTAGCTGGAATCCCAGCCAGGCACCGTGCCTGGATAATTTTGTATTTTTAGTAGAGATGGAGTTTCTCCATGTTGGTCAGGCTGGTCTCGAACTCCCGACCCCAGGTGATCCGCCCGCCTTGGCCCCCTAAAGTGCTGGCATTACAGGCGTGAGCCACTAAGCCCGGCCTCTTTCTTCTTACAGAGAAGAGGAAGAGCAACTTAGTCAAATTTGCATTTTTCACTATGGATGGATCTAGTCTTTCTAGTCCTAGTCCTAGAAAATCCCAGTAAGACTGCTTACTTTTTTATACAGTGTATTTGAATAACATTCCAAAATTTGCAAGTCTCATGCTATGATTTCTAAATAAGTTTCCATCCCAAAGTCATTATGAATAGCAGCATTCTTTTGAGCAGTTTTATCTAACATATTTTCAGATTATGTTTTTGTTTTGGAACTTTCTCCTCCAGAAAAAGCTTAAATAGAAGCTCTATAAGATAAATGGAAAGGAACTTGTTCTGGTTGAACTGAATGAAGGTCCAAAGACCCATACTTCCATTTCCATCCACTATCCTCAGATCCTAGATGAGATTTTCCAGACACAACTTAGAAAACTTAAGAACACCACTGAAAACCACGATAAATCATAAATACCAGTAGCAAAAAAAAAAAAAAAAAATTGTAAAGAAACAATACCCTTGTCATCTTTATATAAATTCCTCCTTTGTATTATATTTATTTCTGCTATTAAAAACAAATGGGTGGAGCTTGCAGTGAGCCCAGATCGCGCCACCGCACTCCAGTCTGGGTGACTGAGCAAGACTCCATCTCAAAAAAAGAAAAAAACAAATCTTTATTCTTTCCAGGGGTCATCTTATTATCCCAAAAAGAATGTATATTCATTAAAATTATCCAATCTGAGCACCTACATTCATCTGTCATTATTGAACTCTTTGTGATAGGCATTTCTTTTTTTTTTAGACAGAGTCTCACTCTTTTTGCCCTGGCTGGAGTGCAATGGCGCGACCTCGGCTCACTGAAACCTCTGCCTCCCAGCTTCAAGCGATTTTTCTGCCTCAGTCTCCCAAGTAGCTGGGATTACAAGCATCTGCCACCACGCCCGGCTAATGTTTTTGAATTTTTAGTGGAGACAGGGTTTCACCACTATGTTGGTCAGGCTGGTCTCAAACTCCTGACCTCAGGTGATCCAGCCGCTTCAGCCTCCCAAAGTGCTGGGATTACAGGCGTGAGCCACTGTACCTGGCCTGCAATGGGCATTTCAACAAACGGAACACAGATCCCAATAAAATCTTGCTGGAAAAAAATGGCAAACACAAAGTAAAAAGTTTTTGTATCCTGAGAGATTTTACTGCAGGAAAACTAAAGGTTCAGAGAAAAGGAAATGAAGTCTGAACTGTCTGAAATACTGAAAATGTGTCTTTGAGCAACACTTAGTCTTTCAAACCAGGTTAGCTGAATTAGAATGCACTGGAGTCAGCAACAGATTCTTAATAGTAAAAAAGTTAAAATAAAATAAAATATAGCCCTGGCTTATTTCATTAGTTTAAAAGAAAATGGAAACTAATACTTTAAATGCTTCCTTCAAATGAACACAAGAGAGACACATGTATAATCACAAGAAAATAAAACATAAGCTTTGAAATGTCAAATTTGGGTATTTAAAAAGTTCATCACCTTTCACTAAGAAGATACTGTAGCAATGCCATCCACCTGATTACAGAGTTATCCACTATACATGCACCAACTTGGCTTCTGCTCTGTCCACTTACTGCTCTTATCAGACCTGTGCTCATAGCAGACATGACTTTCCACTTACAATCCCTGTGCTCCAATCTTATTAATAGCTCCACTGCCCCACCAGGCAGCTCCACTGCCCCACCCATTCTGCTCCCACCAGCACACTCTCACCAGCATACTTCAGCCTGGAATTGACCTTGAGTTACCTAGTTCTGGCTGCAATAGATCTTCTCAATCTATGCCTTCTCCATCCCTACAACTACAGATTAATTAAAATATGCCATTACTGGCTGGGTGCGGTGGCTCATGCCTGTAATCCCACCGCTTTGGGAGGCTGAGGCAGGTGGATCACAAGGTCAGGAATTCAAGACCAGCCTGGCCAAGATGGTGAATTCCCATCTCTACTAAAAATACAAAAAAAAATTAGCCAGGCGTGGTGCCAGGTGCCTGTAATCCCAGCTACTCAGCAGGCTGAGGCAGAGAATTGCTTGAACCCGGGATGCAGAAGTTGCAGTGAGCCAAGATGGCGCCACTGCACTCCAGCCTGGGTGACAGAGCAAGACTCCGTCTCAAAAAAAAAAAGCCATTATTCCAGTGAATACTTCAGCTTACTGATGGAGGTCAGTGCCCCCACTCTTCCTCCGTTGTTTAAACCATCGTTCATGACTTGTTTTTCTCCCATATCCCTTTACCTCTCAATCTTCAGTTCTCTGCACATGCTATGCCCCTCCTTAGCAACGTGGAGAGTTCCCAACCATCCCTTCTTGAACATTCAAATTACACATCACCTCCTCTAAAAGACTTCCCAATCAACCCAGGTAGAGTTGTCATCTCCTCTGTGTCTTCTAAGACCTGTAGGTGTATATCTGACTCTATACCACCCTCCCCAATACAAAAAATCCTTTTGGGCAGAAAACCACATTCTCTATCCTTATATTACAACCATATGCACAATGCCTGACAAACTAGTGTTGAGCAAATAAATGCTCTATGATTAACTGAACGAAGATATGAAAGAAATGTATTGAACCTTATCTACTTAAGAACATAAAACACCCAATTTAAAGAAATTTTTTCCTATAAACACACATGTGCAAGTATCTTTTTTGTATAATGACTTCTTTTCCTCTGGGTAGATACCCAGTAGCAGGATTGATAGATTTGTGAAAATTTGGAACTAGCCCCAAATGCCCATCAATCAATGAGTAGATAAAGAAACTGCAGTATATGTATACAATGGAATACTACTGGGTCACAAAAAGCAATGCATTAATGGCATCTGCAGCAAGAAGGATGAGATTGGAGACTATTATTCTAAAAGAAGCAACTCAGGAATGGAAAACCAAACATCATATGTTCTCACTCATAAGTGGGAGCTAAGTTATGAGGATGCAAAGGCATAAGAATGATAAAATGAACTTTAAGGACTCAGGGGTAAAGGATGGGAAGGAGGTGAGGGATAAAAGACTACACATTTGGTTCAGTGTATACTGCTCCAGGGATGGGTGCACCAAAATCTCAAAAATAACCACTAAGGAACTTACTCATGTAACCAAATACCACCTATTCTCCAAAGGCCTATGGAAATAAAAACAAAATTTTTTTAATATAAAAAATTTTAAAAACCTGAAATTAAATATTGTCCGAAAATTATATTTCTTGGAGAAAAGATATATACAACAAGACAAAAGGAAGTGAAAAGTAAACCAGAGAATAGCTCCACCTGAAAAGTAAAACTGCCATTTTTTTCCAATGGCAGAAGTTATTATGCTGTTTTTCCTTTCCTGGAAAATAACAATTATAATAGTTACCTCACAGCTAAGGATGTGAGAATTAAATGGAGATAAATAGTTAGGAAGAGTTCCCCAAAAATAACACAATTGGCAGATGTTATTGCCACCTCTTTGCTAATCACAAAAAGAAACATGTACTATAACACACTCCAATAGAAAACGAGAATTAGAATATATGCCATAAATTTTGATAAAAGACAAAGAAAAAACAGGTACATTTCTTGAAGTCCTAAAAGTCCAAAATGATATAATTGTTTCACAAAATTTATCAGAATTCCAAAACTAATGAGTTTTAAAATAGAAAAATTCAACACAATTCTTTAGACAAAGGTAATTAAGGACTCACAAAGAATTACACATGCTTTAATATCAGGAATATAAACATTGTTAAGATTTTGCTTGAATTTTATGTCACAACCAGCAAAATAAATAACTGTAGTATAAAAAATATGGTGTTTCCAACACAAATTTCCTAATTTCTGTGTTTGGAACTACAAGGAATTATTCACTAAAAAGTTAGAGACAGAAAGATACTAAAGTTGTACACACCTTAATGTAATTGGCATTATATGACCTCTCATTCCAAATCTGCAAAACAAAAAGTCAAAAAAGTATGAATTGAAAGTTATGAAATGTCAGAAAGTAGATTATCATTAAGATACCATTTCTCTCCTCATCTTTCATATTATCTGATAAGCCATTTTTTTAACTTTATGGGATATCCTGCCATAGAATTTACAGATACTTGTAAGATCGCTTAACTTTTTTAAAATTAAAATATTATTTTTAAGGACCTTAAAATATTTCGTGGGTATTTTTCAAAAAGTAATTTATTCCAAAGATTTTCAACAATGGAATATTCATTAATTCATTTAACACATGTTGACAGTGCAATGTGTGCCAGAGACTATACTAGGCATTGGAGAACTAATAGATAAGGAGACTGTTACAACAATTATGACAAGATCCCTATAGGCACACCTGAAAGCCAAGTATTAATATGTATACTGTATAGAAGGCATATTTTTAAGCATACACAGAGAATCACAGTAATACACTAGTCACAAAAGCAAACTCTGAATGAGGATGGATAAAAGGAACATATATACATCTATTAGGTTTAGAGTCATGAAGCCTGAGGTTTTAGAATTGAAAGAACTTCTGTAACTCCACAGTTGAGAAAACTGTTAATAACAAGAGATGATTCTAGAATCCAGGTGCAGGTCTTTTTACTCCAACAATACAGGAAAGAGTTTATCAATGAAGCTCCTCACCATAGCATGTGTTATCATGAGTCTAAACAAGATGTGAATCACCCATTACTTGTGATTGTACCATAAGAGAAAGCTATTAGACCAAACCTACATTTAGTCTCACTATGGATTATAAATGTCCTGACATTTAAGAAAATTCTCTGGCCAGGTGTGGTTGCTCATTCCTGTAATCCCAGCACTTTGGGAGGCTGAGGTGGGCGGATCACGAGGTCAGGAGTTTGAGACCAGCCTGGCCAACACAGTGAAACCCCGTCTCTAATAAAAAGAAAAGAAAAATAGCTCGGCATGGTGGCAGGTGCCTGTAATCCCAGCTACTTGAGGCAGGAGAATCACTTGAACCCAGGAGGCAGAGGTTGCAGCCAGCCGAGATCACAACACTGCACTCCAGTCCAGGCGACAGTGCCAAAAAAAAAAAAAAGAGGAAAGTTCTCAAATATAAACTAATTTTCAGTCATAATTTGGAAAAGGATAGCAAAAACTAATATATTCTTTCTTCTGACTTCCTCCAGCCCTTGGCTCATCCTCATGCCCTTGGCTCATCCTCATGCCCTGTATCACCATGTAGTATCGCAGTTAATATGTTCCAGTGTCTACTTCTCTTACTGAATACAAGAGCTTATTAATCTTAGTAGCCCTAAAATAGGGCTCAATAATTGTTTGCTGATAATCTAAGTCATGGTTGCATGAAAATGTTTAAGTATTAGTTTTAATTGATGGTATATTAATAAGCAACTGATTATAGAGACCCAGTATGTGTATGTTAAGGCTCTGTGGGGTATGATGCAGCCTAAGGCATGCCTCCACCCAGCCAACAGACAAGCTGGACATGATATGATTTTCCATACTTTTTAAATCCTTAAAAGGTGTTAAGGTGTTAAGTAACAGTTTGTGACAGGTGGACACAGATTTCAGCCAGCCTGCCAAATCTGGCCCATCATCTGTAATTTTACAACTTGAGAGCTAAAAGTGCTTTTAGTTTTAAATAGTTACATTTTAAATGGCTATATATTTACCTCAAGATCCTCAATATTGCCTTTTGGCCCACAAACCCAAAACTATCTATGCTCTGGCCCTTTAATAAAAAGTTTGCCAATCTTTGGCTTAAGACAACAATAGAATAAAATGAGACTAACCCATAAGCTGTCTAGGAAACACAACATTGTTGTAGGAACCAGAGAAAGTAGGGAAAGCTTTGAAGGAGAATTTGAGTTGGGCTGATACAAAAAAAAAACCAGCTCAGAGGAAGAAGGTATACACTTAGCACAGTTTTCAAAAGCGGTGACATTGGGATGGGCAAAGGGGAGCAATTAAAGGTCACATGTACTTAGCTTGTGTTATTATCAGATACCAGTAGAACAAATTAGTCTCATGACATAAAATGGTTAGTCAAAAAGTACCTTAGAACCAAATTATATTTTAAATTACAAATAAATGTCCCAAACTGAATCATTTTAAATATATTACTAACTCCAATATAATCAATGTCCAAATCATGATAACGCTTGGCACCCACAATCCAGGTCACGACATAATAGGCAGTCAGCTGAAGATTGACATAAGGCCAGTCAAAACCTTTTCCCAGCCATCCAGGGAATGACCATGGCAACCCTGCAGAGAGAAGGGAGGAGGCAAAGGTAGAGGAGGTATAACATTGCTGGCGCTATTGAAAATAAAACAAATTTTTTTTAAGAAAAGCATTCAACTTGCAAAACACCAACACAGATCTGACTAAAGGAAAGTTTATATACCATATAAAAATTATTGAAATCCTTTCCAATCTATAGACACTATAATTCCTTATTGATCCCTAGAGTCAGGTCCCATAATTTCAAATGTTCTTTCCAGGCAAAAGAAAAATAACAAATACAAACACCTCTATCCAAGACCCTTACCAATAGAAATAAATGTACCATATGTTTTAACTTAACATTTCCACTCACTGTTGGAATGTTCAATATTCAACTTCTGTTCTTTGAGGTCAAACCAAAGAATTCTAAAAGGCTTATTCCAAACTACTCACTCCTTTGAGTTATGTATAACACAAATTTATCATTCACTTGTACATCTTCTTATAATTTAAGGGTCCTTAAAATATTAATCAGTCAGGCAATGTAATGTAGCAAAACTAGTTTGTTCTTATATCAATATAAATGACAATGAATCCATAGAGAAATATACCCTTGTTAAGTGATACACATCAAATAAGTCCATATTCTTCCAATAACCCTGATTATGTTTAAGTAAAAAAGTGAGAAGAGTAGAAAAGTACGTATTATAATTCTAAATTTAAATTGCTACTAATTTTAAAATAAGCTCAACAGTTAAGTTCCTCAGCAATAAATATATTACCAAACTAGTTCACCACTGAAAAAAATAAAAATAAAAATGACAAAATGTTTATTTTCTAAACTCAGGAGGAACACCCAAGTGTATTACATAAGAAATGTGACATTAAAGTAATAGAATTCTTGAAAACAATGAAATGCTAAATGCAGTCTGAAGGCCTACCATGTGTAAGTCTTTGTTAGGACATAGTTTTCCCTGCCATATTTTCTACATTTAAATGAAGTCTGACCTTGGAAGCAGTCTAGCGGATATTTGCTAAATTCAGTGATGCTTTTACTGCAAACAGCATTTCTGGAATCTTACAAAAGCCCATTTATAAAGAACATACTTACTCCTAATTTCTTTTAACATAGAAAATATTACTCTTATCTTTTAATTTGATTGCTGAGAAAATTATTTTTTAAATAACTAGAAATCAGGCCTTTAGAAGGAATCATTAATTTCATTTAACTTAGTTTGAATTTAAGCCTGTTTCAAAAAATCAAATTCATTTCAAGTGATGAAAGTATCCCATCACTCTGATGTTTGAAATACTTCACAGGCTCTGTACGCATTCTCACAGAACTGTGAAATGTACATAGTCCCATTGAAGCAACTAGCCAATGATCCTTCCAACAGAACCTAAGCTCCACAGGTGCAGGGATTGGGGATGTGATTGGCTTCCTGAGCCCCTAGAACAGTAACCAGCACATTATTGAAGTTTAAAAACTAACAAACAAACAAAAAACACTTTTGTATGTACCTTTTCTAAAAATGGGTTTACTACTACACGTAACATACAATTGTGTAACTAGTTAGGTGTACTACTGCATAGTATTACCCTTTTACAAATACTGATGACAGATTTTGTGAAGAAAAGTAGTTTAGCATCATAGAAATATGGAATTATGTGCTAAAACCGATTTTGCCATTTACTAACTGTCTATGACCTTAGGTCAGTGGCATAATCTTTCTAAGCCTCTACTGCTTCTTCCTGCCAAATGGAAAGAATCATGCCTTACTTCACTGGTATTATAAGGATTCAACATAATATACAAGGGCAAAGAAAGGATCACCCCTGACACATGCTTTGCTGCCGGTAGCATACTGGTAGTATTAATGACATTATGAGCACTTCCGTACTAATAGAGATTCCACCAACATGATCCAGAATTTAAAAGTTAAAGGAAAAGAGACTGAAGAAGCATTGCAAACTTCATTTCTTACCAATGAGTGTAATATTGGGATTCCTCTTCTTAGCTTCCTTCATTAACCACCACTCATATCCTCGAAAATAATTCTCATCTAGTGCATAGTGCATGTGGGAGGGCTCAGTGCCATCTGAATAGAGGAGAGCAAAAACGAAGTAATGATCCATGAATGGTACTCCCTAGGACCATCTCACTCCCCACCCCCACCCACGACACCCACTTCACAAAAGCAGTATTCCAGTTCTAATCCTGAAGTTGGGCAAATCGTAATCTTATACAACTTAAGGATGGATGATAAAAGCACATTATTTCATCCTTTTTTCATTATCTTAAGCATTGTAAAAGTCTTAATAAAACCACAACCTTCTATTATAAGCAGTACTGAGAGAAATATCACCTCATATAACTAAAAATTCCCAGTATTCATTCTTCTGGGCTTATGATCTCTCTGTGGTTTTCAAATCCCCATGTCCAACTTTAAGTTCTCATTACCTCAACTTTCAGCTTATCAATGCTGGATATGAATCCCCGGGCTCCTGAGCCCTGTTCTCAGAACCCACACCTTTAGCCTATAATATGTCTTGATATAGGAAGAGTTTTGAGGGGAAAAAAAAAAAAAGGAATAAGTATACATATCCACTCTAAGAATAACAAAATTCTATACTAACATCTGCAGTTAGTAGAGGTTACATTATCTTAGCACGGAGGAAGTTAACTGCTATTAAAGTCCTCATATATTCCCACAGTTCACAAATATCTGCCCCTGCTAAGCTGGGCCTTCTGAGAGGCCCTTGCGCATTTCTTCTTAAAGGTAAACATCAGAATTCACAAGAACTGCCTGTTTATGTATCTCTACCTCTAATTTAGCTTCAGCAAGTGAAATTAGCCCATCATTGTCAATTCTGCCTAAAAGGTTTTAACAGTAAAATGCAATAGCTTGGGGAAAGTTTCTGTTATGGGGGTTTCTTTTGTTTTTGCTTTGTACTTTTTATTTCAACATAAACACTAATACCACCACATAGACATATCTGTTCAACAAAGAATTACTTCCAAATCACTAGCAGGAATACAAGTATGCAGGAGATACACTAGAGTTCATTATAATGGAATCTGATCTATAAACAATAAGCTATATCTAATCATAGAGAGAATTTTTTTCTTCTTCCTGAAAAACAAAAGGCCTATAAACTGCCAATTGGTAACATGGACTACACAAAGCCAATCAAAATAGTGACAATGAAGACTGAAGATTTAGTGATTAAAGTTTTGTTTTCAAAAGAAAAAAAAAGCTGTATCTCTGAAACACTGGTTACATACATTTTTACCACATATTTTAAGTTAATAGCACTTTATATGCTCTACATAAAATTAAAATCTTTCTAACTTCTCAATAAAATTCAAAACTGTCCCTATGCTCTGTCCTGTATATATAGATTTTAGAAAACTGTGGATTTGTTTACTACCGATTACTTCAACTAAATAAGCAATTTAAAGTCTGAAAGTTGTTTTAGATGGACCATATTCTATATAATATTTTAAAATAATTACAGTTTTAAAATGAGGAACACTCTAATAAGCAACAATCAATCTCAAAAGTGTTGGTACTGTTTACACATATTCTGAAATCACAGTCCGTATGGTGAGGTATAGATTAAAATGCTGACGGGAGAAATCCTATCTCCCAAATTCTCCTACCTGTTGTCTGCCCATCACCACCTATTTCCACTTTTAGAATATGCAAAGAGGCACCAAAATTCGGCTGTGAAAAGAATTAACAGTATTAACATAGTGCTGTATTGTATGATGCTTCAAGACAATTACTAATTACTGCCTTACGTTTTACAGACGCAAAAACAAAAGTAAAACTTCAAATAGCAATTTATTCCAAAAGTAATGCACCATTTTTTCAAAAACCAGAATTTTGAGGCTAATAAATTATAGGTAAAATTCACCCTACAGTTTCTAAAATATCACAAGTATCAAGAAATAATTATTTTTTCATTACCTTAAAGAGATAATCCAATATCTGAGAACGATAGGGCTCTGGGTAATTTACTAGAAGTCGGGAGGTTGCCTAAAAAAATAAGTTTTTAAAAGTATGAATAAAAGAAATCCAATCATGAATATTGGTCTACAGTGTTCATGCACACCACCTGGTATACACATATTTATCCTTAGGCAAGGTCAGGCTATGGAAAAGCGCCTCACAAGTTGCTTATCTGCCCTTTCTGTGCCAATCACTGGGCAAGTAGGGCTGCTGTTTGTCCAACAGCTAAAAGGTTCTCTTCTTTTGGGATGAGGGTTAACTGGGAGGTAAGCTTGCTAACCTCATGATCACAAACTTATCTTGAAATTCAGGTTTTCTATCTTGAGACCAACTGGCAACAGTATCTCAGGGCTAAGATGAGAGGGATGAATGTCAGGAAATTTTTCCCTTAACATCTTCCAGAAAAACATCACAAGCAGCAGTGCTGAAAGGAAGCACCACTTTCCCCATCCTCATAAATTCTACCTGTTACTATTAAGAATAACTAGCAATAATCTCCAGACCAGGCCGTACTAAGAAAACTTAACCCAAGAGTGGCATCAGAATGCATGGAAAGACAAGGGTGGACAGTGCGGGGACCAATAGCTGATCATGCCTGGACCATGGCATACAACTATTTGAAAAAAGAAATCACAAAACCAATAATTGACCTATAATCTATCCTTTGGCAGGCAATATAATCAAAAAATAAACAAAAAGAGGCCGTTTTTTGGCATGAAATAGTAGCACATCCTCAGGCTTGTAAACCGGACAGTCCTAGGTTCAAACTGCTGACACTTTGCCAGTTGTGTGTATGATGACAGGGACAAAATACTTCCCTTTTATGGGGTTTAACTTTCTATTTTATATTCTCACATATGCTACCACTGACATTCTGGTAGTGCCCATATCTACTTGTTCTCACACCCAAAACATCCCCAGTCCCTACCAGTAAGGCAAAGACCCATGGAGCTGCTCTCTAGTCACTCTTCTCATCTACCTCAATATATCCCAAACCAAACATAGCATTTTTGCACCTATCTGCTCCTTTTCCTGAGCTTGCTGTCTCAGTAACGAACACTGGCCTCCACCATAAACTTGGGCCACCTTTTGTCCAAACGTCTCATGCACCCTCAATCACCAAGATATCCTTAATAGCTCTCAAATCCTTCCTCTACTCTTCAACCCCACTGACTTACCTAGGCCCTCCTCACTTATGAGAAAAGCCTAAGTGGTCTCAGGGCATCCCCTCTGCCTCTCCCTCTATTCCATCTCCATGCTACTTACGAGAGCAACCTTCCCAAAACACAAATGTAATCGTGAAACTCTTCTGTGTAAACGTGCTAAGATCTTCCCTTCCCCAAAAGCTTTCAGGATAAAGTTCAAATTGCTCAATTTTGCACCCAAATCCTTTAATTATTCAGTTCCCAACCCTGATACTTTATCACTCTCACACCTTCTATCTAGGTGTATCAAACAATGTTTTCTATTCTTATGCCTGGAATGCACCCCACATCCTCTCTTGGACAACTCCAATTCACCTTTCAGCTTAAATTCCACCTCTTCAAGGAAGGATGCCTTTTGACCCTGCTCACTGACTTGATGTAAGTGCCTCTCCTTTGGGATCCTTTGGCACCAGATCCATATCTCTATTATAACACTTTGAACCCTGCATCCTCATCACTCCTTTACTTTTCTGACTCAGCTCTTAGTTCCTTAAGGACATGGACTGAATCTTATTCAAGTTCGTATCCTCATTCTTTGTTATTCAATAAACACTTATTAAATATTTTATGGGTCTTTTGTTGCACTGGTACAGGCAACATAACATAGGAGTCTTTAAGTCAAATGGAGTTTGTATTCTGATTTCATCATTAATAAGCTATGTAATCATAGGCAAATTATTGTAAAGTGGGCTATCTTACTCTTTCAGCTGTTGTAAGACTAAAATTAGATGTATGTAAAGGACTTGGCACATTACCTGGCACATAGTAAGTTCTCAATAAAGGCAAGTGTTATATATACAAATTTTTAAAATACATATTTCTCAAAGAGCTTACAACCTAGCAGGGGCTCCAATATCAAAATAGGCAATCTTTAAATGAACACTGTATAGGCACACTAATATATCCTTGACCCTAGGTAAACAATGCTTCCTGTCCTACACTATGCCATTAAAACTGTGCACTTTGTTGTCTAGGGTTTATTCTGCCTTCTATGCACTCCCACATTTAACAGAGAAAGTATCGGCTTTAGGCAAACACACCAATTATGCTATTGCAAACCTATAGCCACACCTAACACAACAGCATAAGTCAAAGGCAATATAACCAAATGTTAAAATGCACCATCAAGCAATAACAAATCATAGGATTACCAACCACACTGCCTGAATGAGGCCTGGAACTGTTTACAGGCACAGGAAAAAAGCCCTGGGAACATTTCATCATCCAGTGGCCTTGAAATAACTTTCTCCTCCCTAATCTCTGAAACTGGTTATTAACCAAAATCAGTAACGTGAAAGACATTATCCTAAGGACTTCAGGTCTATCCTCACGATGCTCCTACCATGTGGGTACATAACTGTATCCCAAAAAAAGAAAGTGAGACAGAGAGGAGTTATAATAGATAACCTGCCAAGGTCATACAGTGAAGTGGCAGAACGCAGAATACACTCTTGGCAATCTTCTCTTTAGTCTATATTCTTTATGTTTTGTTTGGTTTTGGGTTTTGGGTTTTGTTTTGTTTTTTGAACGCAGTCTCACTCTGTCGCCCAGGCTGGAGTGCAATGGTGCGATCTCGGCTCACTGCAACCTCTGCCTCCCGGGTTCAAGCGATTCTCCTGCCTCAGACTCCCAAGTAGCTGGGGACTACAGGCGCATGCCACCGCGACCAGCTAATTGTTTGTATTTTTAGTAGAGACGGGTTTTCACCGTGTTAGCCAGGGTAGTCTTGATCTCCTGACCTTGTGATCCACCCCCCTCGGCCTCCCAAAGCGCTGGGATTACAGGGATGAGCCACCGCGCCTGGCCCTACATTCTTAACTACTTACTGTACCATACTGCTTTCTCTCTCTGACATAAAGATTAAATGACAGCATTCTAAACACTTACTGCCACAACTTGGGCTAGGGACCAAGGACTCCACAAAGAAGTTTAATGTGGTATGCAAATATAATGTTGCAATCATTTTCATTATTTAGTGAGTTCCTACGAGGAGTAATGCACTATACAGGGATACTAATAATTGTTGTATATTCTATCAGATTAGATAGGAGTTTCCTAATTATGAAATGATTCTTCTCATCTTAGTAATTTTAAACTGGGCTTAATAAATCTAATGGAAACAAAGACTTCCATTTTTCGGTAAGCTCTTACACTAGATTTAGTATCACAAGTAAAGCTATAAAAAAGATGGGGCCCCATTTCATGAAATATTGGCTGTTTCAGGTTTAGACCAAAAACATAAAAAGGAGAATAGTAGTAGCAAAGAATAAATGCATTAGCTCATCGACCCACAGGTTTCCCCTGAAACACACATCAGCACTGCTGCAGAGATTGCAAATTAGGGAATAAAAACATAAAATCAAAAAGGATCAGCTAACTCCAGGGGGAAAAAAATTTCCCCTAGCAGGTTATATCATGTGGTCAGACTACCGACCAGGTCATCCTAGCAGCAGGCATTCAAGCTTGTTCTGAGTTGAATGTAAGGATGCAAGCTCCATCCAACTCAATCCCAAAAACCCGAGTTCAATGTTAACATTTTCAAAAAGAATTAGCCCTAGATGTAATTTCAGGTACAAAAAACAAAAAACAAAAACCTTCTCACCCAAAGGTTGGCCACCATGAAGCCCGTGGGCCCAGAGGGAGTACCTGGTAGTTTCAGGCCGCTCCCTTATATTCCTTTTAAAGACACCTTGAGGCACCAGTCGTGCCTCCAAACAAAATCCTATTCGGCGCTACCGTCTCCGGAGAAGCCCATCCTTACCCTGCACTAACAACTGCCCGGGACTTACGGCTCCACCACCCACCAACTCCCCCAAAAGGAAGAGACACAGCCAAAGTATCCCGCTGGGGCGTTCTCTTTCACACACGGACGCTCCCGCACTCCCTGGCCCTTTCTGGAGCGACGCTGCCCGACTGCCATCTCCGAGATGAAGACAGCCTGGGCCCCATTGCCTGGGACTAGGACCAGCCCCGGCTTCTTCACTGCTTAGACCTGTCACTTTACTCTCTGGACCTCCGGATCCTCATTCGTTCAAACCTAACTGCCTCTGTGGTTCGTGTTAAACGAGAAAGCACCCGTCCCAGCCCCGCAGCGCACCCGCCCCAACCGCCTGCTGACGGGCACCTTCGGCCGCACTGGCCGAAGGTGGAGCGGGTCGAAACGCACGGCAACGCCGCGGGGGTTTGTGGGGCGGGCCTCACGGGGCGGGCTCTTGTCGCCCCCCGCGTATCCCCGCAGCTCGCCGCTCACCCCGCCGCCGCTGACCGCGCCGATGCCGTCGAACTCCCGGCCCAGCCCGTCGGAGTCGTCGAGCACGTACGCGCCGCCGGGCGCCAGCAGCGCACACAGCAGGAAGGGCACCGCGGCGCGGCCCGCCGAACCCGCGGCGGCCGTCATGGCTTTCACTCGGCGTTGCCGGGAAGCCGAGAGTAGCCACTCAGCCATTGTGTGGGTCACATGACTCCGGCGCCCAGGGAGGCGGGTCCCGTCGCCGCCACGATAGGTACGGGCAGGAGGCCGTTGACGCTGACGCCGCCGCCGCCATTTTGAGTGCGGATCAAGGGCCACTGACGCAGCCAGCGCAGGGTTGAGGAAGGAAGCGGCGAGCTTTTTCTTACTGCTCGCCTGTCTGTGGTCAGCCGCGGGATTTCACATGTACTTCTCTTCCGACGTCACCTAGTGGAGCACTTTAACGCAGGGAAGGTGGATGTCCAAGGTCCGCCCAGGGAAGAGGGCAATGAGTGGCCCTACCATGGCTCTTCCCCAGCATCTCAGGGAGTATCTACCTTGTGCGAGGACCAGGCTTGGACCCCAGGTCCCAGTTCCATTGTTATCTTGGTGGAATCAGTTTGCTTTTGGAGCCTGAGCTTTCCCTTATATGAGATGAGGCGAGAAGAGCAGCAGTGAGGGACTGAGAGAAAAGTTAATAAGCACTCAGTACATGGAATGCATTCCACAAGTGGCAAATGTTAGCTGAGAAGGTTCTCCAGTCTGGAAACTACCCCGGCATATTCAAGGCTTTTAGCCTTGAAGGAGTTAATAATATACCACCTCAAAATATGCTGCTGTGGCATATTGACTATTTTAAATTAAAGGCGCTTAAAAACAGCAGGTGCAAGATCACTCTCATGGATATTATGTGTCTTAAAAGGAGGAGATGAAATTCCCATGTGAAAGATGTCTTCCCTATAAAATAGCATTCTTATCTTCAAGGACAGAAAGTTGAAGTCGAGGGAAATCTGTCCAAACAAAATTTGTTAATCCCTATCTTTCTAGTCACTTCTCTACCCAGTTAATTACTCTAGCCCAAGCCCCTTCGCCTTATGTTTCACAACTTACTGTTTTTTGTCCATTTCACTCTATAAGCAGTTGACTCTTAACTACTGCTTTAGGTTTTGTTTTTGTTTTTGTTTTTTTAGTGAGACCCCCCCTGCCATTTAAAATAAACAAATTCGTGTGGTTCTCTCCTGACAGTCCATAAATATCTTAAATCGATTTAATACTAGGGCCCTGCTGGGACCCTACAGGGATGAAGGTGAAATTTTGCCTCCCCTACAATTTTATAAACTATCTTCCACTGTCAGTTGAAGTGATTCCAGACAGATAACTCTAAATTGGTAGGAAAGTCGTGAATTGCCCTGGAATTTCTGCCACATCCAGCACTGTCCTGAGATTTCTGATTTCCTTGTTATTGAAGTAAATTAAAGAGACTCTGAAGAGCTGCAGAGAAAGATTTTCTGATCCCCAAATTTCTCTTAGCAGAAGTATAGAGCTGGTTGTCATTGCCTACACAAGCCCCTGAGGTACCACAATGGCAAGGAAAAGACCCAGAGACTTTAGGACCTGTGGGATTTGTCTGCGGAACCCTATTTGGAATCTGATTGTTTTGCCCCTTAACCACAAACCTAAATCTAAGTTTCAAGAACTCAATTATACTTGAAGGTCAAAACTCTGGGCAATCCAATAAATATGTACATCAGGTCCTCTGATATCCCTGAATGTACATTAGCTATGTTTGTTCTTTCTTTCTTTTTAAATTACATCTATCCTGGTTTACTAAGGACAGTCACAACTTTTGTCTGAACGTTAATTATTGATAATGCTCCCTTCATCCTCAGTAGTCTTCTGGCTTGGATCAGTTAAATAGTCCCCTGTGTGTGAACCACTTATTTTCTTTGGTTTCTTCTTTCCCCAGTACAACACCAATCTGAACTCTCTACCTTCCCACTGCAACCAGTTTATGATGCAAGTCAGTAATTTTCCAGTTCTGTGGATTTACTGTTACAGAATTCACTCTGATCCATTTGTTCTAACACAATATATTAAGCATGAGCTGGAGCTCCTGTGGATACAAGCCATGGTAACCATTCGATCAAGTGAATGTTAAGCTTCTCTTACCAGCTCTTAACAAGCGCGTAAGACCCATGTAATACCGTGACTAGATGGGAAATACCAAGGTGATAACAGAGGAAACCACCTTACACATAAAGTTAGGAAGTTGCATGATGATGTATGAATACCCAGCGTACACCATCCTGTAGCACGTCATTGTCAAACGGGTCAGTGGTCAGTGGTCTCGTTGTCTGAGGTGTTATCCAAGCTTGTCTCACAACCAAAAGAATTAAGGAGTGTGGACACCAGAGTGATGTTGAAGAGAGAGTTTATTATATGAAAGAAGAAAGCTGTCTGCAGCGGAGAGGGGTCCCAGATGGGTTGCCACTATTACAGTTGAATCCAAAAGCTTTTATAAGAAACTCCTCTCATCTCTGTAGCTGTTCGTGTAACTTACTGTAAAGCTATCTGTGCAACTCCCCTTATCTGTGCAGCTGTGGGTATGTCTTGGGTAAGGATAAAGTTCAGCTTCTCTTTTTTGTGTAACTGTGGGTTCTAGGTAAGCACCCTCTCCACCCGCATGCAAGTTCCCATAGAGCCTACCATGTATGTGCCTGAAAAAGGGGAGAAACTTTTTCCTAGGAACCTGCTAATCACCCAAAGAACAAAAGGCTTCTATGCTGGGCCTTCCTTTCTTTATCAGTGCAGCTGTTGCCTGAGTTTTCCCCAGGCCACTCTATTTGTGCCTGTAGCTTGATTTTTCAGGCTGTCTTTCTGTTTAAAAGAATTTTACCAAAGACCAACTTTAGCTGTCTGCCCAACTAAGTTTTCCCTTTTCTCCGCCCTCAGTTGCACCTTGTAGTTGGAATGCATGCCACAAATATTTGAGCAATGTGTGAAATCTACAAAAGAGGAAACAAACTCTAAGGGAAAAGGTAGCCTCACTCCCAGAAGTCCCAGTAGTTCCTATTAGTTCAGTTACCAAAGAAATTGCTTACCAGATAAATATTTTTTGTTTCTAATTTCTGATCTATATTCATGAGACCAGACATGAGGCAAGAAAGTTTCTAATAAAAGGCCAATAAATACAAGCTGACAGAGATCCTTGGAGTGCTGGGCACAGCCCTCAAATGTACTCACGATGTGAGATAAGGAAAAATGACAGTTATCCCACAAGTGATCATATGCTTAGCTTCCCTTGCGTCTGTGGATCAGGGTCAGTGAGATAAGACGGTAAGAAAGGAAGGTCCCGGTTTTCAGATTTTAAATGAGTTTAAAAAGTAATGACAGTGTTTCTGTCTCTCTGTTTAATCTGAAACACTTCAAGAATTTGCATGTTATCGTTGCTCAGGGGCCACACTGACCTCTGTACCATTCTAGTGTTCGTAAATGGTCTACCAAAGGAAACACGATGATTTTTCTCTTAAATAACAAGTGTTTCTAAGTATCACAACTACACCTCAGCCACCCCACATCTCTCCTTTTTCTAAATAAAATAATGTGACCAAAATCAAATAGTCTCTTGAGAGGAATCAGAGATCTTGCCTTTTAATGAAAATGTATTGATAAACTCTAATAGCAGTCTGGATTTTTTTTTTCTTTTTTCTTTCCCCAAGACTGTCATAAAACAGTATGATAGTAGTCTGTTGTCTCACTTCAGGAAAAGGCTTTACTTTTATAAATCAGTCTACCTCCCCTTCAGTCTACCATCGATGGGCATTTAGGTTGATTCCATGTTTTTGGTATTAGGCTGTCAGAAATTCTAGGGCAGAGGCCAGGTTTATTTCTTATTTGTACATCTTAAGCACAGTGCCCAAACTATGCTAAGTACTCAATAAATATTAGTTGAATTGAACTAAAGGCAAATCATAGCTAATGTACATTAAGAACCCAGGGTGAACAGAGGACCTGATGTGCATATTTATTGGATTGCCCAGAGCTTTGACCTTCAAGTATAATTGAGTTCTTAAAGTAGGAATCCCCTGGGACATAAGAGTGTAGAGTGTTTTCTCGAACTGTCCTGTAACATCTGCTATATTTTTTAACTTTTATTTTAGGTTCAGGGTACATGTGCAGGTTTGTTACAAAGGTAAATTGTATGTCCTAGGATTGATGTACAGATTATTTCATTACCCAGGTAATAAGCATAGTACTCGATAGGTAGTTTTTTGATCCTCCCCTGCCCCCCACCCTCCACCCTTAAGTCAGCCCCAGTGCCTGTTGTTTCGTTGTTGTTTGTGTCCTTATGTACTCGATGTTTAGCTCTGACTTGTGAGAATATGTAGTATTTGATTTTCTGTTCCTGTGTTAGTCTTCTTAGGGTAATGACCTCCAGCTCCACTCATGTTACTGCAAAGAACGTGATCTAATTTTTCTTTTCTTTTTTTTTTTTTTTTTTGAGACAGAGTCTTGCTCTATCATCCAGGCTGGAGTGCAGTGGTATAATCTCGGCTCACTGCAATCTCCACCTCCCAGGTTCAAGCGATTCTCCTGACTCAGCCTCCTGAGTAGCTGGGATTACAGGTGTGTGCCACCACACCTGGCTAATTTTTGTATTTTTAATAGAGACGGGGTTTCACCATGTTGGTCAGGCTGGTCTCGAACTCCTGACCTCGTGATCTGCCCACCTCGGCTTCCCAAAGTGCTGGGATTACAGGTGTGAGCCACAGCACCCGGCTTCTCATTTTTTTTTTTATAGCTGCAGAGTATTCCATGTTGTATATGTAACGCATTTTCTTTATTCACTGATAGACCATTGATGGAGATTTAGGTTGATTCCATGTCTTTGCTATTGCAAATAGTGCTGAAATGACCATCCACTTGCATGTGTCTTTATGGGAGAATGACTTACATTCCTTTCAGTATATATTCAACATCTGCCATTTGTCTGGTCTTTCAACTCTGGACATGTTTCTTGATTGCAACTGTTAGTTACACTGCCCTGTTCAGTGACTTCTCTCTAAAATATGTTATAAGGCTCTATTAATTCAGGATTTTACATAAACAAAATGAAAATAATTCAGAGGACAGAATCCACCTAATGAAATAAATTATAAATTGCTTAC